CATGTAATTTATCGCCGGAACCCACTTCCGGGTTCACGGCGCTCAGCCCCGCCCCTTTCTCTGACGCGGTCCCTCCACGATACTTAGGAGGACCGCGCCAGATTCAAAGGGCTGGATTATTCGCACAGGTGCTGCATGAAGATCAGCTGCTCTACTTCTGATCCTACCTGCTCCACTTCTATACCTCGGCTAGTAAACGGATTTCTACCTTCTCCACTTCTCGACCTCGGCTTGTAAACGGATTTCTACCTTCTCCACTTCTCGACCTCGGCTTGTAAACGGATTTCTACCTTCTCCACTCCTAGACCTCGGCTTGTAACTCTGAATTCTACCTTCTCCACTCCCAGACCTCGGCTTGTTAAAACGGACTTCCCCACTCTCCACTCCCAGTTCTCAGCTTGTTGAAACGGACTTCTAATTTCTCCTTCATTGGGTGAATTAACCCTTCCAGTGCCAGAACTGCCTTTAAGTTAAGTAATACTTTTACCAAACAAGTCAATTACTATTATTTATATTACACAGTATCTAAAACTCACTAAAGTGTCACTTTGTCTAATTATTCCTCTTACTCATAAGGGATTGCTACAAAGCCTAATTTTACCTACATGGATATTTAAAGGTACAGTGACCATAGTTTCATACCAATATAAAAGGAGGTGAACCTTATTGTTGTTGCAACCAAGAAATGCTGCAGTTGAGTTCCAATTAAAGAAATATTACAAAATAAGTATTACAGGTATATACACTACCCTTAAGAGGCATTGTGCTGGGTAATAAGTATATAGCACAATCATACAATCTGTGTGGCAGCAAAGTATCAACATGAATCTTATTCAAAACCTCTTTCACTCCCATGGATTGAAGCAGAACTTTCATCGAAAGAGTATAGCAGAAAGTACATTACTAGTGCCCAATTGTTAAGCAATCTGAAAAAGACAATTTTGTCTACACCACTCTCATCATGCCACTATCTCCCCTTTCCCCAATCTATTTCCAACCAAGGGAAATTAAAGAATAATTGGACAAGAAGGCAGGGAAATAACCTGGAAAGTGATGAGTTTTGTGTGTAAAGCCCCTACAGACAAAGAAATAGGAAATATCTCCTGTGTGATAAGAGGCTTTTTAGGAGGTCGTCTATGTTTGGACTCAATGGCCAAATGTGTGGATCTCTCCCTAAGAGGTATTTGGTACACTGATACAAAACGTACATCTACCAAATTCTCTTTATCTCCTGAATCAACTAGAGCCTAGCAAGAAAATTCTATGAAATTACACTGAGCGGAAACTAAAAGGAGAAGTCTATGCTGAGGCATAAAAGGGACATATGCATAATATGGTCCTTGGGTGCATGAGTTTTCTGGGCGTATCGAACAAGTCTTTCTCAGATGTCCCTTTTTGCCACAACATAAACAAAGATCCTCATTTCTCATAAATTGTTTCTCTCTGATAATTAAGTTGTCCCTAACTGCATAGGTTCCGGTTCTGCTACAAAGGGAGGATTATGAAAAACAGGAGTAGCGAAACGAGGCATAGGAGTAACTACTGAACATTTAGATCTGTTTCCTTCTCTCTCTCTCTCTCTCTCTCTCTCTCTCTCTCTCTCTCTCTCCCTCTCTCTCCTTCCTACCCCCACCCCCTGAAAATAAGACTGGGTCTTATATTCATTTTTTCCCCGAAAAACGCACCAGGGCTTATTTTCGGGGGGAGGTCTTATTTAGGAGAAACCGTGTGTTAGAAAGCAGGTCTATGCTACAGAATGGCTGCCTTGCAGCTTTAGCTGCAATTTTCTATTTTCCTATGGGTTCAAGTGTTAACTTCGGAATAATCATAGGCAATAGAGCTTTTCCTGTTAAGTGGTTCATTAATTAACAAATTTTAGCCCTATCAGAAGGGAAGGACCCAGGAGACGCCTCTGTTTGATTATGGAATCACCTAGTGCATCACCTCCAAAATGAGGAGGAGATGACAAGGTGACTGACAGGCATAGTCAGACATAACACTAGGCATAGAACTAGCAGTAATCTGTTGAGGGTTAACAGACAGATGGGCTTCATGTCTTGAAACTTGGTTGGATTTCACACCATAAGGGCAAGCTGGAATTCTCTCTCCAGAATGTGTCCATGGTATTCAATGTGATGTTGGTGCTGTACAATGCATTATCATGTCCCATCTAATGGCCTAGTGATCTTGATTTGTTTTTGACGACTAACCGAATCCTGAATGTGAAGAAATACATAGGCCTATATACCTCCTCTTTTGAATACATACCATTTCTCCAAATGATGCTTCTCCGATGAGAAGAAAATCTCATCAGGAGCAGGTACTGAGAATAAGGACAGACTGATTTGAAAGAGGAGACTATCTCAGAGTCTCCAGTACTGCTTCAAGAAAAGATCATTTAAAAATTTGGTTGAAGTTTCACCTTAGGTTCCACCTATGTAGCCAAGAATGCTCAGACATAGACTTTTGGATCTGCAGCCTCTAAGAAATGTTATAGCTTCAGACAGTGTCCACATTTCAGAAATGGATACTGATATGTGCAATGGCTCCGATGTTGAGATGTATTCTGGAGAGAATAATCTTGAATCTTTTCTAATGCTCATTGTATAAAAAATGAGGACCACTTTCTATGGAATAATCTTGCCATTGGGGCTGTAGATAAAACTCTGACGTGGCCTAGGATGCTCCACCATGCAGGGATGTTAGTCCTGACACGTTCAAAGGGGAAAATTGTCAACAAACACCTCTTTTGCATGTTACGAGAGTCTTTATAAGCCTTTTAATAGGTGTGCAAGAACCATAAGGAGAACAGACTGGACAGTGTGTGTTCATGAGGTGCAAAAGGTTGGACATTTCCTGATAGCTCTCATGGGATGCATAAAAAGTCTTCCCTTAAAGTGTTTTAGCTATACATAAAGCATTATTTTATGTTTGGAGAGAAACAAACCAGGATTTTGACTGAATCACCCCAAGACATTTCTGCGAAATTGTCTGTCATATTGACATTCGAGGCATCATACCAGTTGCTATTCCACCTTTCATTGTTTTACTGTTTCAGAGTACAGTAGTTTAACAGTGAATCCTGGTTCACAGACTTCCACTGTCTGGCTCCTCCAAAGGAATGGCCAAGGCAGAGTCATGTTATGTCTTAAGCCAGACTAGATCATACTAGTGATAAACTAAATGCCAACTGCCTGGCTCACGAGCATGCCAACTCTAGCATTCTTTTTGAGGCATGTGGATTACCATATGCTAAATGTGTGGGTAGCCCAATGTTGGTTAGTGCTGGACTGATTTTACAAATAGGTCAAGTGAAAGCTCAAGCGAGTACGGGTATGGTTTTTATTTTTTTTTTATTATTTTTTTATTTTATTAATTTGTTTGTTATACATTGGATGTCCTTTGACTTTTGTATCCAATTGGTGCCCGGTACCGGAAAGATTTTTGGTTTTATAATACATTTTATACTACTTGCATGGGAGATATATTTTGTGTTTAAAAAAAAAATAAAAATCTAATAGCACTTCAGCCAACTATCCTAATTAACCTGCATGTGTTTATAATCATTATTCATTAGCTTACATTAGTGCCAAGACATTCCAAAATGGAACACAGCTCCACCTAACCTAAAATGGACCTGTCATGTATGTATTGTTTGCATATTATGATAGAGCAAAGTGCCTATCACTTAATAACTATTGTGTAAACAAAAAAAAATCAGTCTCTCTTCCTCTCCCCTTTCTCCGGACATATTAATTCTGACTGAGATTATTGGGAATTAAACTCCCAGCCAGCAGTTAGCATTTTACGTTAGTTAGGGATACATAACGGTTTGATTATCCCTCTCCAGCTCATTTCCTAGTATACTATTATAAGACAGAAATTAAATTAATGGTGACCGCTGCCAATTGAGTGTAAATCCTATCAGTTTCACGCAAGCAGGGACATATATGAACCTTAGCTCTATTTAAAATAATTATTTTTAAAAATGATATTAAAATGTGGAGCAAACAGAAGAGGAAGAAAACCTCCAAGGCTGTCTAACTGCTAGAGAGGCATTTTGGCAGTTTTATAAAAGTGCTGATTTCTACTGAAATCATTTTGGCAAAGTTTTATTAGCTATTGAAGTCAGCACTTTTATAAACTGTCACAAATATAACTCTATATGGTTCCAGCCCTCAAAGTGTTCTTTTAATGCTAAAAAAATATGTATGAATCCCATATAAACTAGTGTGACTAAATAATTTATCAATCACAGACTGGGCAGGTTTCAGGGTAAAATAGCCACACTGAAAGCATGGCAGCTGAGTTTTCAATTTAATTATTTTTTGCTTAAAATTCTGAAATTCACTTTGGGGTTTATTCACTAAATTCCAAATATTACTGGATAAAAAGCTAAAAGGTGATTTGAAATGTAGATTAAAATAGCTGATTCATGTATTTATGGCAGCAACTTTTTATTACAAATCAATGCACTCAGTTTTAGCCTGAATCTAAATATTACAAAATTGTTTGAAGTACCAAAAACATATGTGTGTGTGTGTGTGTATTTATTTATTGCTAGTATTTATAAAGCACCAACATATTCCGCAGACCTGTACAATTGTGAAATAGACAAGACAATAAAAACAGATGGACACAAAAGGTAGAGGGCCCTGCCCATGAGCTTACAATCTAAAGGTAAACAATGAGACATATCATAGGAATTTGGAGGTGATGGCAGAGAGCAAATAACTGCTGTAACTGAGAACATGTGAAGTAGGTGATTGACTTTGAGTGACTGTAATTCACATACATTGTGTGTGTGCGTTTGTATAATGTACCTACTTAATACTTTTACTATTTTTATGAATGCACACTGATTTTAGGATGTATTGGGATATACTTTGGGTGTCTTGTCAGCTGAGTGACAATTCTCCCAAGTCCCTCCCATGTAACAGGCTGAGGTTTCCTTGTCCCCTCCCTTGTACTGTCATGGTAGGAGGGGGGAGGCTGTGACGTTCCAGGTTAAGGAAGCCCAAGCTATTCTGATCAGCTCTCCGGAATCCCCGGCAGGGTCACTGGAGGGATATTCGGGGTCTCCATGACGCTCTATGACCCCCTGATGGCCGAGAGCCGCCCCCTCTGTCACATAACAGGCTGATTATGCCCATCGATCCTGCCCGGTAACAGGACCCTGCTGTGGGGAGGCGGGTGGGGGAAGAGGTTTATTTCCCATTTTTACAGGACAGGTCAGTCGTCCTTTCAGGTACCCACGCCCCCTTGCCCTCTAACTCTCATGTCGCCCACCTACTCCATGGCGAAGCACACAACAAAGGGTTAAAGGTAACAGTATATTGTTGTTGTTTTTTTCCTCCACTAAGTATTTCATCAACTTTAACCGCTTTCTTGCCAGTAGGACCCTATGTAGGCCTGTGATTTCCCCCCTCCCCACATTCCATTGAACTCAGGGACGACCAAAAGCGGGCTTCCCAGCTGTTGTAGAACTACAGTTCCCGCGATGCTTTGCTGTAGTTGTAGTTCTACAACAGCTGGGGATGCATCCTTTGGCCACCTAGGGGTTAAAGGGTTCTCTTTAAAACTTCGGAATCCAGTGCTTCCCCGCGTTCGGGGACCTGTACGCCCGAGTTTCCATTAGAACCTTGGGGATATTCCATTGTAGATACATTTGATGTAGGTTCCTAACCCCATTCACCCGCTTAATGCTGTTTAGTTTCACTTCTCTTTCTATTTCTCTCTCCGTGATATCCCCAATGTCTGAGCTGGAGAGCGATCGCACCCCTAAAGTTGGGGTTTAGGGGTGGTTGTGATTGAAACATGTTCCCAGCAGAGTGTGTTCATATTCCATAATAATATACCCCATCATTCACTCCCCCTCCGGATCCGGTGTGGGTGACATTGGAGCGGAGGGGGAGGGAGCTCGGCTGCTGGTGTGTGTATGTGTGTGTCACAAGCATGGACGGGAGCTGGGCAGGAAGGGATCCCATTGTGCCTTAGGTGACTGTCCCTTCACAACCCCCCTCCCCATCATCTAATTGGAAGTAGTGAGTGCCAGGCCCCTGCCTGCCCACCCCGGATCCTGACTCTCTTTTTTTTTTTTTTTGTTACATTGTAGCGGAAAGAATGTCGGAGAGGGCCGAGGATGACGTCAGAGGGGAGCAGCGCAGAGCGGCGGCCAGGCAGCAGCGGCGGCAGGGAGACAACATGGCGGCTCTGCCCAGTCCTGGAGCCATGCTGGGGCAGCCCTGGGTCAGCTGGCTGGATGCTGCCAAACTGTCCGGGACCGACGGTGAGTGCAACTCTGCTTCTTTCCCATCCCCCCCCCCTTCTCTCCAAACCCTTGCCTGGCTGATTTCACAGCTTCCCCCACCTGCTCACTGTGTGTCTGTGCTCTTATTGCAGAACTGGAGGAAAGTTTGAAGGAGTGTGACAATAAACGAGAAGCCATGAGACTCAGCAGAGAAGGTGAGTGCCAGCTCTGTGGGTACAGCACCAGCCCATCAATTCATTGCCAGTCCACTTCCTGTTAGTTCACTGTTGACAAGCAGGAGGGAGGAAACCGCTGCACTTTACAAGCTTGCAAAGCTGGTTACAAAGTATACCTTTTTTACAAACCTCTGGCTAATAATCAGCTGGATATTTCTAATTGTATATTAAATGTTCAGAATTGCAAGATATGTATAAGCAGAGCATCATGGGAAATGTAGTGCCAAAGCATCTCCTGTGCCAAGGTTAGCCATTGCTGATCTGCAGGTTTACATTTTTTCAATTATATTATGTAAATAAACTCCAAGCTAACACTATGTCTTCTAGTGGGGTCAACAAAATTTAAATTGTAATCAACTCTTCCTATACAAATAGTTAAATATTTAATCTACATATTAAGTATCCCTAAAGAGGCCCTCAGGCAGTCCCTTCTGGTTTGATTGTAGCTGCTATTTGAGAACTTACAGAACCAGCTACCATCTTCATATATATAAGTGAGTGAGAACTCTGTCGACTATAGAAGGTATTATTCGCTAAACAGTGAGTTGGAAAAACAAAAATCCAACTTAAATTATTTAGACTTTTATTTACAGGTTATCTATATTGGTGTAAAATTTGATACCGTTTTGTGAATAAACATCTTGACTTGTCAGATGCAAATGCAAGGTTAAAGCCATTTTGTGGTCTCTTGTGCTACTTTATTGTAGTGTAAGTAGGACACCACAAACTGTAAGATTACTTCAAAGATATGCATCTTCATAACTTAATGAATTGTACAACAAAATGCCTCTTTTAATTTGACACACGTACTGGCTTTCCCCCAATTTACTATTTTCAGATGTTTTAATTGGAATATTTAGAACTACTACATACCTCAGGGCTAGGAGTCAGGGTTTTTTCCTTTTTTAATTAATAAAGCTTAATTTTCAGTGATAAAAATACAATTCTTAAAGGGACTATAGTCACCAGAACCATTACAGCTTAATGTAGTGGTTCTGTTGTCTATAGCATGTCCTTGCAGGCTTTTCCATGTAAACATCGCTTTTTCAAAGAAAAGGCATTGTTTACATTACTGCCTAGTAACACCTCTAGTGACAGTCACTCAGGCGGCCACTAAAGGTGCTTCCCTAGTTCAGTCCTGCACAGTGTGCAGCACCTACATTCAGCGTCTACACGCTCGGCTTGGAGGCGCTGAATCTTTCCCATAGACATTCATTAATTCAGTGCACCTCTTTGAGGAGATGCTGGTTAGCGCAAGCGCAATAGCCTCCAAATGCTTTTCTGTAGGAAAGGATTGGCTTGGCTGAGATCACCAAGATGATTGAGCCATGGAGGTGGGAGTAAAATCACGTTTCCCATATGATCGAGGGGGAGGAGGGAGAAACACCCAGAAATTGTAATTTAAAAAAAAATTATATTCATTGAAGTCCACCCCGCCTCCCTACCTTTGTGAGTACTGGAGCGGATCGGCTTTTCCTGGGATCCAGTGGGGCTTCTGTCGTCTTCCTGTTCTGCTCCCTATTGTGTTGTAGTGGTGCCGGGGCTGGAGTGGCATATTCTGGCTCCTGGCATCACTGCAGGGTGCGCGAGGGAGCAGAACAGGAAGATTAAAGCTTCCTTGCCACCTCCATCCTGCACAGCCAGCCGGTCCAAGAGGCCGGCCCCCTCCGCTCTCCACTTGCCGGTGCTTGCATGCTCACTTGCCGCCTCAGCTAAACAGGCTTACAAATTCCTGCGCCATTGCGACTTGGTACCTGGGATTTGTTGAGCCTGATGCCAAGCTTCTGAAATCTAATTTGTGCTGCTAACTGACTTTGAACAATGATCTGCATTTATATTCTCGGAGGTGTCATTTGTTTTAGTTATAAATATGACTGGAATTTTGAGGGCTAAGGGACATTTTTAGGAGAGGGTCTACCAGTTAATCAATTGATTTAGGGACACCTTATTTTTGCATCTGAACAGTACATTAAGCTATACATCACTGATATATGCATTTTTTTTAGAGGCAACTATAAGCCTCTGCTATGAATATTAATGCGACTTATTCACTTTCAAGGTCTTTGCTTATTTTGCAAATACTTTCCAAGGTAATATGCTGCTTGGCATGTGACCGCCTGAAATGTAGCTAACAGGAGATATACTTACCCAAAGCTTTCCCTCATGGGTGTTGCCATCTTTATGGGAAATGTCTTCACCTCCTATGACTTCATTAACCAGGAACCCTTGTCACTGTCCTATTCTTGCACATGTATGAGTATACAGTAGACAGGGTTATGGAAGATCCCACATCAGGTTTATGGAAGATATTTGTTGAAACATCTTTAAGCCAATATTGCTATTACAGTTAATCCTGTATAAATCTCAACACAATCAGGAATGCTTGTTGCTTTATCGGGAAAATTTGCAAGTACATCTCATTCATTGAGTACACCATATTATACAGATCTTTTTACTCATGTGCATTTTATCCTCTCCCATTGAAAACCCATGAGAAATGTACAGCTCTCTAAAAGAGAGGATATTGAAAATATAAGAGAATATATTTTCTTCATGGTAGTGGGTGGAGGTAAAGGAACGCTCGAACATCAAAGATATATTTTTGACATTCGTGTTCATATTTAAAAATAAATGTTCCTTTTTTTTTTTTTTTTTTTTAATACATACCTGCAATCCAGTCTTCTTTTTGCGGCTGCTTCACCTCTGAAGTCCTCAATTATGATGACTTTTATTAATCTTGATGATTCTCATTGAGTAGCATTGGGGACATAGGACACATACACTAGTAATGCACATAGAGAAGCAATGGACATGTTAAGCATCACCATGCTGTACATGAAGATATTCAATTTTAACAGTCCTTAAAGGAACACTATAGGTTCAGGAACATAAACATGTATTCCTGACCCTATTGTGTTAAAACCACCTTCTAGCCCCCCTTTACCCTCCTAAATATAGCAATCTTTCCTTTTATTCTGGTCTGCTGCTGCTGGCTCTGCTCCTGATCTGCCTGCTTGGCTGACATTTTCAGAAGTGACTCTATCAGCCAATCAAAATGCTTTCACATGGGAAAGCATTGGATTGTCTGAGACTGTCAAGGTAGATCAAGGGCAGAGCCAGCAGAAGCCAAACACAGCCGTGGCCAATCAGCATCTCCTCATAGAGATGCATTGAATCAGTGCATATCTATGAGAAAAGTTCAGTGTCTCCATGCAGAGGGTGGAGACACTGAATGGCAGTGCTGCACAGTGTGCATCACTGACCAGGAAGCACCTCTAGTAGCCATCTTAGGAGTGGCCAGTGGAGTTATCACTAGGCTGTAATGTAAACACTGCATTTTCTCTGAAAAGTCAGTGTTTACTGCAAAAAGCCTGAAGGCAATGATTATACTCAGCAGAACAAATGCAATAAGCTGTAGTTGTTCTGGTGACTGTGGTGCCCCTTTAATAAGGAAGTGCCTCTAGCCATTATATGCATGTTCTCTAACAAATTCATAGAAACGTCTCAGGGTTATTTACCAAAGTTCATACCGGTATTTATTTCTAAAATAACTGAATCTGAATTAGAAAATGTCTGAAAGTCCCTTATGCTTCCAGTGTGGCTATCTTTATCTAAAATGTTATGTTTGCTTTGAATTACACTGAATTTACCACTATTCTCACTTTAGTGAATAACTCTGTCAGTGGTTTTTGATTGTCAGGTGAAAAGGGTGCAGCATTTATACACCAAAACCACATTATGATTAAATGGTTTTTGTACTTTGTGTCTGTTTTAAGGTACTTGTTGTTTTGATTTTATTTCTTTACATTTCTTTACATTTCTTTGTTTGCAAAACCCAAGTTCCTCTTCAAGTTCCCCCAAAAAGCCCTCAAGAAGATATTTTGCATGACACTCTGACTGATGCATTCTTGCATCCTAGCTACCTATAGTGTTTGTCTCTAGTCAAACAATTTTTTAAAGAACCCCAACCCCCTGTTCAGTAGTCAAATTGTTGTACATAGATGCATGGCATAGCTTTGAAAAAATAACTCCAGCTCATAGGCAGGATAGAAGGCAAGAAGCAAAGCCCAGATGAGAAATCATACGGTTTGGCTACTTTCATTCTGGTGGTGCCAGTATAATCCTGGCACCATAACCAATAAAGCATGGCATGGTTATAGTGCTTGGAGTGTTCATTTTTAACCCGTCTTCCTTTTTTTTTTTTATGGTTGAGATTTGTTTGTTGCAGCTCAATACGAAGTATTTGCAAGGCAGGTGCTCTGAGCAATTGCTGACTCCACACTTAGCTCCACTGAACTAACCAAACCAGGAAGTGTTGTGTGCTTGAAAGTCAGGGGTTGTATAAGATACATTTATAAAAGTGTAATTTTCTATTAAAATCTGTACTTTCTGCAAAATGGGAAGTAAATAGGACACACTCTTCACACACAAAGCTTTTCAGCAAGCTCAACTTCTTTAGGGGTCTGGTGTGTCCCTTTAAAGGGGCACTATAGTCACCTGAACAACTTCAGCTTAATGAGGTTGTTCAGGTGAGAACTATAGCTCCCTGCAGCCTTTCTCATGTAAACACTGTATTTTCTGAGAAAATACAGTGTTTACATTCAAAGCTAGGAACACCTCCAGTTGCAGTCATTCAGAGTGAACCAGAGGGACTTCGGAGTTGATGGAGGCATAACATGCCTCCATCCACTCAGCTCTGCTGTTAGCAAAGCACAAGGCAGCACTGTGCACAGCATCCTGTGATTCAATATCTCCTCCCACTGCATGCAAACACTGAACTTTCCTCATAGAGATTCATTGATTCAATTCATCTCTATGAGGACATGCTGATTGGCCAGGGCTGTGTTTGAATCATGCGGGCTCTGCCCCTGATCTGCCTCTTTGTCAGTCTCAGCCAATCCTATGGGGAAGCATTGTGATTGGATCAGGCTACCACTTCTGATGTCAGCAGACAGCTTTTTTTTCTGAGTCTAACCGCATGCAGATTTACAGCTTCTGGCTTGAACAGATTAGGATTCTGCTATATTTATGGAGGCATGAGCCCAGGGGGCCTAGATGGTGGTGTTAACACCATAGGGTCAGGAATACATGTTTATGTTACCGACCCTATAGTGATCCTTTAACTGTATCACATTGTATCTGTAGGTATTCTAGAAGAGTAAACCTTTTCACCTTTGCAGTCCTAAATAAAAAAGGAGCAAGGCAGCCAACAGAAAAAAATTATACTGATTTAGTAGAGTTTGGAAATGGTTTTAATTCTCAATTTTCTTATTGTAGTTTATTTGAAACGTGAAATCTTCAAACCTCTCTCTCGCTTCTGTTTTTATTTAGTTGAAAGCCGAAAGTATTTTTCTATCCCTCTCTCTTTCTGTATGATTTTAGACTTCTACTCTCATTACATGTACCAACTTTCTCTTGAGTGGCTTAATTTGCATTAAGGTTTCACTATAGTAGAGCATGTCTGGATTGCACCTTGTGTGCGGTTGAGATCTCTCATTAGGGTGTCCTTGTTTGCAAATGTTCTAATTTGAGATTGCCTCTCACTTCTATTTGGTTGCTCATTCTTGAGATTAATGTTAGAAAAAGTACGTAAGGTAAATTATGCATCAAACTCTAAATAAAAAATAAAATAAAAATAGTTTTGTTCAACAGTTTGGATTTCTCCTTCAGTAAACTGCACAAAACCACATCTGAATAGTTTTCAAAATCGTACCAAACTGGAATCCTTCTAAATTGTCAAGATCTATCTTAGAAATGATCTATCCTAGCCAATTTGCATAGAAAATGGTCTGGAATAAATTCCAGAATTCAGATTAAATAATAAATTGGCCTAATCTAATCCGGCCTAAAAGGGAAGTGAAATCGCCCTCTCTATTTAAAAAAAAAAAAAAACAACAGCAAAATAAACCCTGATATTACTGTGAGCGTCCATAAAAAGTTCCCCACCTTTTACTAGCTAAGCATATTAACATTCACACCAGGGCCATGTTGTGAGAAATTAGAGGTGGGGATTCTGCTCACCCACCGCACTCTGTTAATAAGTGGTCCTTAAACTCCATTTCCTGTTATTTATAGTTTAAGGTGATTTCAGGCTCAAACAAAACCACTGACAATTTATAGGTTGCTATTCCAATATTTTGTAATATTTGAATTTTTGTTAACAAGTAATATCTCACTCTGTTACCAATTCCTAATCTGCGGGGTTTTTTTTTGTTTTTTTTTTAAAAAACCTCCAGTTGTACACCTGTACATTATTACCATAATGTATAGTTAAAATCTTTAGAGACTATGTGGGGGTTGTCCTAGTTTTGTCACATAGGTCATTTAGCTAAAGCATGCTTGCATATTTGCAGTATCTTAAAGGACCACCCCAAACACCATAACCACTACAGCCTGTTGTAATGCCCTGGCGTCCTTCCAGAATAAGTAGTCAAACTGTTTGTGAACAGTTTGGCAACTTACCTCATGTTCCGCCAGGTGCCTCTCTTTCTACTGTGTAGCTGTTCCCACAGGAGAGTTGACCAGTTGCCCATTGAGCCCAGGTAAGTTATTTAAACTGTTCACAAATCTGGGAGAGTGTGAGGGCAATTCTGACACCACAAGTAATTCAGCAGACTGTAGTGTTTATGGTGTTTGGCGTGTTCATTTATCTCTTAAAACAAAATTAGAATTCAGATTCAACTTTGTCATTGTACCATGTACAAACAAGGGCAGCGAAGAACAGTTGGCCTCTGCAGCAGTAATTTAAAATACTATTTTTAAAAAAGATGTACTTCAAGTATAAGCTTTACAGTAATACTTGATACCACAATTTCCTGATACTTAAGAATACAATCCTACTACATTGCTACCAATTTCAAGCCCAAGAATACCTTGACATTATAATTGTGCCACCATATGAAATCCAAAACACTTTTACCACAATCTAAGTAAACATTAAGTGTACAAACTGCCACTCAGTTAATACCCTAGTGCAAATGGAGCCAAATGCAAGATAATTGAGAGAGGGAACTGTACAATATTTGTCAGACATAGCTGCAATTTTAGTTGTTTCCACGAGCAAATTGCCATATATTTGTTTCATGAATTAAGCTACAGATAGTGCAAACATGTATGGGATATGCTTAAAGTCCCTATGAAAACTATAGGACGACCAAGATTGTCTAAAGGAGATTTTTAGCTTGAAATTTGTACATAGATTAGTGAGAGCTACATTCTGAGAATTTGCGGGGGGGACAGGTTCAAATTTCTTTACCATTTTTAAAAGTTTATAAATTACAAAAGATCAGCTCTGTGCTGAAGTCAAACTGTCCAAAATCCAAGCATCTATCTTTAAATTGTAAGGTTTAGGGGACAGTTTGGTGTATGTCAGAATTCTTAGGTGGACTGTTTTCATGCTTAATGTAACTTTGTTTACTATATGTATGTGTACTTAAACCAGCATACAGATATTCTTTTTAATATTCTGGTTGGCTTTTATGATTCTGGTGTAATGACCTGGAGATGTCCCCAGGTTCCATACAAACAGACCTAACCCTGTAGTGTTTTACCATTTTTTTTGTTTTAATAGACTGTATATATTTTCCAAATGGCTGAAGTTGACGACAAAAATAAAAGGAAAAATTGCAATATAAGGGATATTGCAAAATATCCAATATTTTACCATCTTCCACCATTATGTCTTTAAAGGTTGTAAAGACAAAAGTACATAAGCACATTTTTTAAAATTAATTTTTATCCTTTATTTGCAATCTGCACATGTTGTTCTATCCTATGTATATGTGCTAATTTTGTAAAAATAACTTTGTAGCGAAAGCATTATTGGGGGATAGTGACTAAATCACAAAATACATTTAGAAAAAGAAAAAGTGTCAACTTTGTTCTCTATTATCACCTGATGCTTGCAGTTAAAAAAAGAAGTAAGGTAGCATTTTCTTCATTTAGCATAATCCAAAAAACATGGTCATTCAAATCTTCAAATATTACTCCATATTTATAACTTTCACTGTCCCCTTATACCTTGTCATCAACCTGTACCTTCAAAGGGACATTCTTGTATAGTGCACCACCGGAGCAAGCCATGTTTCCAGGTGCCTGGAACTACTGGTAGAATAAACAAAGAGAAAAATATATGGAGAAGTAGGGGGGAACCCAAGCAAGAAAATGGGGACCAGAAACATCTGTAAGAAGAAAATGTGAAGGGTAAAATTTTAAAACTGAAGCGGAAGGCCATGAGAGAACCCCAGCTTCTGTTTCTTCCGAAAGGTATATCAGGTTAACAGAACTTATGTTGACATGGAGTTTGAGAAATTTATTTCTTGTTCTCAGTCACTGTTTTGTGTTTTTGTTTTTTTTTTTGTTTTTTTTTTAATATGGGTTTGCCTTAGTGAAGGTTTCTTTTGAAGACCAAAATTTGAATGCATGTTCTCTTTTAGATATTATGGTCCTCTCTGATGACGTTCTGTTTTGGCTAAGGTGAAGAGTTTAATTGTACAGTATTTCATGGCAGCCAGGATCACGCTTGGAGTTGAGAAAAGATGCTCACCTGTGATAATGCATGACGCCGTGTCTTTTTAGGAAAATTAAAACTTTACTGGCTTTGTTTTTTGTCCAGTGCATAATTTTGATCTATATACAACAGTACTAGTGGTGTAATGACCATTTTGTCATCTTGGGTCCCAGCAAATTTGAAGAATGTGTAGCATTGAGTGAACTGAAGGGAAAGAAACAGTTTGGCAATCTGTCACAACCATATGATTTTCCTCCAGTAACTAAATTCTAACTGTTTAATCAAATACTTATTTAATATTTAGCAACAGAGGGGAAAGGTTGCTAAGTTGATTGCACTAATGTATTTAGCTTTCATCAAACAGTGTCTGAATTTTGGGGGGATATATTATTTGGCAAAATATACCTTGTTAAAAATTAATCTCAGCACACCTTTTTTACTGCCCTATTTCTGTGTGTTTTTCTTTATTTAATTTTTTTTCTCATCTGTTCAGGTGCATTGTTTTTTGTTTTTTTTTCTCCTCTAAGTAGCAAAGTTTTATTCTTAATATAGCAGCCCACAGCCTTGTGCCACCTTGTAAACCCGGCCTATAGATGCAAGGGGCCTTGCGGCATAGCTTCTTAGTAAATATGGCCCTGAGTGACTTCCACTATGTTTGAGACTCAGGAATAAATTTTTTTTATGATGGTATCTGACAAACAAGAAGAAAAAACAAATACACAAAAAAAGAACAGGGGAATACAGTATCTTTAGAACATTGTACATTTGAGCTTGCAGCCACCATCATTCTGTTCTGTATTTTTCACATTGCAATATATGAGTATTGTGGCAGTCAATGCACAGCCAGCAAATCAGGCCTCATTCTTGATGGATCCTCGGCTAATTGCTTCTTTATGATAAGCCGAGTTAATGCTTGGTTTTGTCCCTTGAATAATCTGCAGAACATGTTCCCTCAGCCCCCAGCATATTGTCACAATCTTTATTCCTGTTCTTTTTTGAATGCTCTATCGTGGTACATGACACTGTCTCATGGAATTATTGTTTAGGAGCCCTGATGTCTTGAATTTAGAATGTGGTTCCTAAAATTGCCTTGAGAGAGGTGCTTTTTAGTGTCAATACTAAAGCAGATCATTGTTTGCTATGCGTTAAACCGCTATGGCTCGGGTATTAAAACTGACATTTTCATCATTGATTTTTTTTTATTTTTTATTTTTTTCTTCTGCCTTTAACACGAGCAATTTTTTCCATATGTCGCTTCTTGTTTTTGTATGTGAGAAAGCACTACGTTTAAAGTGATTTTCTTTATTTCTTCCAACAGTCTGATCATCACATTCCATATGTACCTAGAAGACATTTAAGGTTTGCCATTGAAAGGAACATGGCATCTAAATCACGTTTACAGTATAAATGCAAAATATGCAGATTCAAACGTGTTGCCTATGCCCGCTCCATGGTCTCCTTGTTCCCCACAATATAAAGGCCCATCTTGGAAATAACAGGAGATATATATTTTTTTTAATTATTTTTACTAAATCAAGCCACGCTTTCAATTTAGATGGAATACCCAAATCAGATCTCAAGTAGCCTTAGATATAAGTGTATGTGTGTGTGTGTGTGTGTGTGTGTGTATAGTTAATACAATGTTAAACAAAAATCTGCACACCAGTCAAGCCATAAGACTTGCTTTTCCCACACAAATCCCAAATCTGCAGTGATGTTACAACCGCAAAGGATTCTGGGTGGGCATATGCAAACTAGTTTAACAAAGCATCACATTTTTGCCTCTTTCCATTTAAAAAAAGGATTCCTTTTAATCTGTGTTTGCAGTATACAACTGCTTGGAACACAATTTGTATACTGCAAACACAGATTAAAAGGAATTCATGTTTAAAATGGAATGAGGCAAAAATGTGATTCTTTGTTAAACTAATTTGCATATGCCCACCCAGAATCCTTTGCGGTTGTAACATCACTGCAGATTTGGTATTTCTTTGGGAAAAGCAAGTCTTATGGCTTCACTGGTGTGCATATTTGTGTTTAACATTGTATTAACTATCCACAGACTTCAAGTGGAAGGGGTTTTCAATCACAATATTTCCCCACCATAACATATATATATATATATATATATATATATATATATATATATATATATATATATATATATATATATATATATATATATATATATATATATATATATATTATTATATAGTGTGTGTGTTAATGTCACTCTTGAATACTGATATATTTTTTTTTCTGCTCTGTGGTGTCCAAGTGCTGGTCCCCTTTGCCTTGGTGCACTTTTCCAGCACATGAAAACTGTCAAGTTTCTCTTTTTGTTTTGATCTCTGTGGGTCCGTTCCTTTTGATAGATCTATATTGCAATCTTCTTCATGCAATGTACAATTGGCCTGGAAGGCTTTCCCGAGGGAATGCAAGAGGTGGATATTCACCTTCTTGACCAGCTGTTTTATACCACATTAGCAGCATACATGTATAAGCCAAAATATTACATCAGAAAATAAAATTATATTTAAACACTTGCTAGCATTTCAGCTAGCTGTTTCTAATGCTATTATCTTCAAAGGGCCTCCACATCACTTTTGTTTGGCAGATTAGGATTAACAAAGAACTGAAAAACAAGAATACGTTGTAGAACTAATTATTCCTGGAATTGCCTGTACTGGTATTGATAATCCCTGTAGATCACAATAACATGTTATTCTATGTTGTCTTAAATAATAACCTGCTTCTGCAAACCGTTTATGCATTATTAGTATAGAAAAACAATGAAATATTGATAATGTTCATTTTTACATATGTTGTATTGGCATGTATCCAATTGTATATGTGTTGACATTTCATTTGTAACAAGGCTATTTAGGGGGCATATAAAACATACCCTTAAATCCCAGTCCTAAACCTAAAGTAAAGCCGTAATGCCATTGTAATATAGATTATTATATATTGCTTTGCATAACTTTATTTCATCCAGTACTGTTACAATCTCCATTATATTGGTTTGCTGTTTACTAGCTGTAGCTAGCACGTTACACTTCTGATCTCCGTTACCTTCTGCCCACCTACAATCTGATTGATCTTGCTTGTGAAGTATTTCTCAAAGCAGGAGTGGGAACGAAGCGCTGGCAAGCGCAAGACTTTGGTTTTCATTGGGACTGATCACTGCAACTACAGAGCATTGCTACACCTAAGCTGTAGTTTATGTGAAGGAAAGCAAGAGAACTGCCTGGATTTGGGATTTCCAGCTCTTGACCATGAAATCAGTATAACTTTGTTGCTGTGAACTGATTGACTGGTAGGGGATGTGAATATTTTTTTTGTATATATTAGATTATTCGTGTATCGACTAAATTTATATCCGGTTAATTTTTTTTAATTTTTTTTTTTTTTATGAAGAAATATTTCATTAACAAATTACGAATTGTTGTGGATATGCTTTGCCTCTTTGCATTTTATTTTCTTATAAGTCTTTTTTTGTTTTGTTTATTCTAGCTATATAGTTTATCTTACAATAATTAACTCTGGCAATCATCCTCTGTTAATATTGACATTGTGAGATACTAGTGCCTATCCCCTCTACACTTATAAGCTTGCAGTAATTCTTAGTTCTGCGCAGTGCTATGGATCATTGTTTTACTGCTTTCCAGAGGTTGCAATTATTGCATCAGTGTCCCTTATCCACATGTTGCACAGTGAGTACTATACATGATTACTGCCAGTCAAACACATGCTAATGCTGACAGCTGGATGGGCTGTCTTTTAACCGTTTCCTTCAACCAAGAATGTATTTAATATACATGCGGTTTCCCTAATTATGGTCTCGAAATTATAGGTTGAAAGGCATGCACATTCCTGCTGTTTAGCTTATTCAATGGGTGGTGCTCAGATAGTCAGAGTTCCGTGTTTCACCTGTTATTATCACAACTATTACTTATTTTATTTCTGCACCAATAATTTCCCGATATTCAAAAACCATGGTCGCCATCTCCCCTGCTAAATCACCTTTGGTGGGGCTGTATAGTGTTTAACCCTTTCCATTCTGTTCATAGCTGAATATTTTCTCAATAGGTAGACAGCATTGGATGTAGCTAAATGGCTGCAGATGTATGGAGGAGGACTGGAGATTGCCACAGTGGGGGAGACTTTTCAAACTGTCATGTTCTAAAAGGTGGTGCAAAAATGTTAAAAGGGGAGAAGTCGCCAATGAAATCTGCTTGTTGGTTCCCCAATTTTCAATGGTGATTGCCCCATTTTTAGTATTGTGTTTAATATGCTAAACTAATAGCATATGAACCTTTATTATAGAACTGACATATTGTTCAAGCACAGTTTGGATCAGTGGAAATGTTTATGTATTCTTTGTGCTCTTTTACTGGTGTGCTTCAAGGGGGGTAACATTTAGGAAGCCAACATACCAATAAGTAATTATGAGGAATAATTAAACAAATAAATTTATAGCTACAGAACAATCATAGAGTGATAGTATCAAAGCTCAACATTTCCACGTGACAATGGCTAGTGTGCAATTTCAGCTTTGGCAAGTGGGTATTCAGCCCTGGTAAAAAAAAAAAAAAAACACACACCACCACGGGTTGTTGGTTGGAGTAACTTTGCTGGCATGGCCCCGCCACCAAAAAAAAAATACGTTTACCTTACTGTCTTTTCGGAGAAAATGCAGTGTTTACATTACAGCCTAGTGATAACTTCACTGGCCACTCCTCAGATGGCTGTTAGAGATCCTTCCTGGGTCATGGCTGCCTAAAATGCATCCAAACATTCAGTGTCTCCTCTCTCTGCATGCAGACACTGAACTTTCCTCATAGAGATTCAATTCATCTCTATGAGGAGATGCTAATTGGCCACGGCTGTGTTTAAATTGTGCTGGCTCTGCACCTGATCTGCTTCCTTGTCAGTCTCTGCCAATTCTATGGGGAAGCATTGTGATGGAATTAGGCCACCACTTCTGATGGTGTCAGAAGAAGTTCACAGGCAGAGGCAGCAGCTTCAGACTTGAATACAAGTAAGATTTTACTATCTTTAGGGAGGCCAAGGGGGCTAGATAGTGGTTTTAACACTATAGTGTCAGCAATACATGTTTGTGTTCCGGACACTATAGTCACCCAGACCACTTCAGCTCAATGAAGTGGTCTGGGTGCCAGGTCCCTCTGGGGTTAACCCTGCCTGCTGTAAACATAGCAGCTTCAGAGAAACAGCTATGTTTACATTTGGGGTTAAAGGACCTCTATAGGCACCCAGACCACTTCAGCTTAATAAAGTGATCAGGGTGCCAGGTCCAGCTAGGTTTAACCCTTTTTGCTGTAAACATAGCAGTTTCAGAGAACCTGCTATGTTTACTTTAGGGTTAATCCAGCCTCTAGTGGCTGTCTTATTGACAGCCGCTAGAGGCGCTTCCGCGCTTCTCACTGTGATTAGGGGCTTGTATACTAAACAGGGAGCAGCCTGTGGCTGCTCACTGGAAAAAAAAAACCAAAAACCTACTATCCGACCCCCACCCCTGCGCAGCGGGTGGGGGCCCTAAATAATGGGGGTGGGGGACACCTACTGTCCTCCCACCCCCCCGGCCCCTACCCCTGCGCGGTGGGTGGGGGCCATAAAGATAATGGGGGGGGACACCTACTGCCCCTAGTCACCCAGCCCACCCACCCAAAAAAAAAGTAACCCCCTACCTACCCCCGTCACCCTAAAAAATAGTGAGGGGGGAATAAAATAACTAACCTGTAAAGAAAAATTTAACTTACCACTTGACTTCTTTTTTCTAAAATCTTCATTTTTCAGCCCCAAAAAAGACCAAATAAAAAAACCATCATACCTGTCGAACTTAAAAAAAAAAAAAAAAGTTCTTTGGAATTTTCCCACACTGTGTAATTTGACTCATAATACTCTGATTGGTGGGCTTGGAATCTAACCAATCAGAGTGCTCTTTCTCATTTTACACAGCGTGGGAAAATTCCAAAGAACTTTCCCACGCTGTGTAAAATGACACAAAGCACTCTGGATGGATTTCAAATTTTCAGAGTGTTCTTAGCCTAATTTAAGGGCGGTGCAAGGCTTCATAAGCCTTTCCCGCCCTTCAGAGCTCAGTGTGCGCGGAGCCCTCCATGGGTGAAGATGGATTATTATTTTTGCGCTCTGTTCTTTCTTTTTTTTTTTTTTTTTTGCGCTCAGATTTTTTATTTTATTTTAAGTTCGGGTATGATGGTTTTTTATTTGCCCTTTTTTGGGGCTGAAAAATGAAGATTTTAGAAAAAAAGAAGACGTCAAATGGTAAGTTTAATTTTTCTTTACAGGTTAGTTATTTTATTCCCCCCTCACAATTTTTTAGGGTGGGGGGGGTAGGTAGGGGGTTACTGTTTTTTTTGGGGGGGTGGGTGACTAAGGGCTTGGAGACCCCTAGTCACCTTTGATGGGAGGGCGGGGGAATTTGTCTTAGGGCCGCCGCCCAGGGGTGGGTGCCGGGGGGGAGGACAGTAGGTTCCCCCCCTCATTAACTTTATGACCCCCACCCACCGCTCAAGGGTGGGGGCCGGGGGGGTGGACAGTAGGTCGTCCCCCCCATTTTAATTTATGGCCCCCACCCACCGTGCAGGGGTGGGGGCCGGGGGGAGGACAGTAGGTCCCCCCCCTGTCATTATATTTATAGCCCCACCCGTTGCACAGGGTTGGGGGCCAATAGATTTTTATTTTATTTTTTTTACAGTGAGCAGCCACAGGCTTCTTACTAGACATGCCCCTACTCGCGGTATAGCGAGTAGGGGCATATTATTTACTAATACTAAGTAATCTTTACTTAGTATTAGTAAAGTTGGCTGAAAGACCAATTTAGGTCTTTCAGCCTTTTAGTAGATAACTCCCTAATTCCCACTGTATTAGGGAGCTATCTACTAAGCGGCTGCAAGATGCAGCCACAGAACGTATTGAATCAGCGTTTCATTCATTCGAATGAAATTCCGATACGAACAAAGTCCCGAATTGAGTTCTAAAAGAACTACTGTTCTCGTGCAGTTAGAACGCAATTCGGCACTTTCGTCTAAAATGACAAGAAGCATCGCGAGATCACAGAGGAAAGGTAAGAATTATGGGAAAATTGCTGTGACCAGCGGAAATGAAGCACACTTTGCTCCTCCGCTGGTCAAGCGGAGGAAACCTCCATAAGGCAAAGAGTCCCTTCTTTGTCTTATGATTTTAAAGAAAACTAAAGAAGACAGGAAGAAAAAAACAACAGATCCTGAGAGAGAGGGAGAAGAGGAAGAGATTGATGAAAGGTAAGTTCGGCATGACAGTGCCGCTTTAAGTAACAAAGTATCCACACAGAAATAAACTGTGACTCCAAATAACAAATACCAAACTAGCCTTATAAGGCTACTTCCATGCCTAAGTAAGTGAGGAGATAAAGTTACTAAACACCTAAGTCTGCAATATACATATAGGCTTGATTAGTCCTGGCCCTTTAATGCATGGGGTGTTAGTAAATCTCCACTTAGTACCTAAGCAGCAGAAAAAGTGCTAAAGGGAGAAATGTCACTGTCTAAAAGGTTGGCAGCCCTAATAATCAAAAGTAGACAGACGGATAAAGAAAAATAAAGAAAGCCGCTCTCCTTGTGAGACTTACTAGATAGACATAGAAGAAAAGATGTAAATCCTAACAAACTCCCATGCCTAAGTAAGTGAGGAGATGAAGTGCTAAATACCTAAATCTGCAATATACATATAGGCTTAATTAGTCCTGGCCTTTTAATGAATAGGGTGTTAGTAGTACTCCCCTTAATTCCTGAGCACCGGTAAAAATGCTAAAGAGAGAAAGGTTACTGTCTAGATTATCAGCAGGGCTAACAATCAAAAGTAGGACAGATAAAGTAAAGTAGAAAAAGCCTCTCTCCCTGTTAAACTTATCAAATAGGCATAGAAGAAAAAAGTTGAAAGGAAAAACTTAAATCATAACAAAAACATGTATCACACAGTGCAGTTAAGTGCCCATGTGTGTGCAAGGCCTCTGACGAAGCTGCTTATATACTGCACCTAACTGTGCGTCAGGTTCTTTCCTATGGGTCAATTTTAACTTGCACACACATGGTCTCCTTCTGGTTACATTGTTCCATACCACTGGATGCTTTGGTGCCTACGTACGTCTTTATCTCCAGTCAGCGTTATATCCGCAGTTTGTGAATTTGTCCTTCTTTGTTTCTGATGCTTTTGGGAGGACAAAAATCATTTATAGAAAAAGCCACAATTTCTTCCAATGTGTGTGTGTATACTTGCTATTAACATTCATGGGGCTTTGACAGACTAAAACAGCACTGTCACCATCTGGAAACAGTGCTGCTGTAGGTAGAGTGGCCAGTAAAGGTGAATTAAACTTACTGAACCTGTCCCTCGCAGGCACGCCATCTTTCTCTGGTGGGTCTTCTTCAGCTGCATCAGGAGAAAGCGTCACTGCTGTATTTTTGCGCATGGGTGTATAGCATTGAGTTCTGTGGAAGTTCATCGACCAATCCAATTCCCTGAGGTCTGTGGAAGTTCATAGACCAAGCCAATTCCCTGCAGCCATCAATTCTGATGGCTGGGTGGATTGGCACTTCTAGTCGGCGGTAGCTCTGCCCAGTGTCTAGAAGTGTAGGAAAGACATCCAAACTCCCAGCTTGGTGTATTCTGGCCTTGGGGTGAAACTAAGGCTGATATAATTACCTAAAAGTCTCCCTCACAGGCAACACCATCTTCTTCCTTCAGTTCCTAGCGCTTCATCCATTAGGAACCCATGTCACCGAATTCTCACAGATGCACAAGAGTGCAGCACTATCACCAAGATCTGTGAAAAATCATGCGAGAACTGTGATCCTCCATTGGCCACTTATTGTGATGGTAGAGGGTGACTGATGCAACTGAAAAAACCTGACTGCAGTCTCCCAACCTTTTGTCAAGTTTTGTTGACCATAAGGCAAAGTAAGTCCATACATTGTCTTATATGTTTTGGTTGTGTTAGGTTTGCAGTGAAATTACAACACAGTGAATGGGTATTTATCTTTATAAAATACTCTAGTGATAGAACAGAGTTACTTTAGATACTTTGCAATTGGAAACACTGTAATCACCAGAACAACTACAGCTTAATGTAGTTGTTCTGGTGTTTAAGTATGTCCCTGCTGGCTTTTTATTGTAAACACTGCTTTTTCAAATAAAAGGCAGTGTTAACATTACTTCCCTAGGAACACCCTTCGTTGCAATCACTCCAATCAGATGGCCCCTAGATGTGTTTCATTGGTAAGTGCCTCACAGTGGACAGCACTGACATTCAATGTCTCTGCATGAACTGAACGTTCCTCATAGAGATGCTGATTGGTGCTGAGTTTTGCCACGCATGCGCATTAGCCTCCTGGATTGGCTTAGTAGGTCAAGTTTGATCTCAGTCAAGGAGGCGTGGCGGGGCCAGCCGCGACGAGACCTGTGCAGCGCTTCAAGCCAGTAACCAACCTGATGCTGATGAGTTGTATTAACAATGAAACAGCTGTCGATGAGTGGTTCACTGGCTTTGCATCTCTTCCTGAGTTTTATTTCAAAGCTGTTGTGCACAACAAACATAAAATTCAAGGAATCCATAATGAGGCAAAAAGGTGATTCTTTGTTGAAATAATTTGCATATGCCCACCCAGAATCCCTTGCAGTAGTAAAATCACTGCAGATATCTTTGGGCTTGACTGGTGTGTGCAGATCTGTGTTTAACAATGTATTGTGTGTGTGTGTGTGTGTGTGTGTGTGTGTGTATGTGTATATATATATATATATATATATATATATATATATATTAATATTCTATGTGCACCATTATTGGCAAAATAAAGTCTCCAAAATCTGAATATGCCTTAGATTCGATGGTGTATTGGATTCGAATACAAATGGTGCATTAGACATGATAGGCATATGACACGAAATTTGCCTGAGCGAAATTCGCAACATACGACAGGCATGCAAGACTTCGCATTGTATGTCCGTCGTATCTAATGTACCATTTGTACTCCAATCTAAAGCACCATCGAATCTATGTTGTATAGTATTATCTTCTCGTACAAATGTGCATTACATTCGCCATCGAAAACATGTTTCAGCCTTCAGGTTTAAAATTTATATGTTTGTATTTTTTAATTTACTTTTACCTTCATATATAATATATGTTTGTATATAGCATACATTGGTATATATACGTTTTTAAGTTTGTGCATGTTTGTACTTGAGCTTTTTTTAGTGCGCTTTATAGTATGTTTGATATCAGTATGTTAATTTTCTATATTTTGTGTAAAAGAAAACAACAATCGTGTATATTGTATGCCTGTGTATGTTTTTTGTTAATCTATATGTACTGTAGATAATGTGTGACTGGCATCTCACACCAAATGACCATTGTGCAGGGCATTCTGCTTAGCAGATTCCAGGGAGCAATATACATGCAGATTGAGCTATTGTTGGCTGTATTGAAAGCACTGTTTACAAAAGCTTTACTCTTGGTAGGTAGTCGGAAATTCAGAGGACTTGGCTCTCTTGAGTGTGGGAATGCTAAAATTCTCCCTTCCCCCATCTGGGTTAGAGATGTGCAGAAGGCAGTGTGTGCGTGTGAAAATTGCAGCTGTTGTGTGTGCAGTTCAAGTCGGTGCTCACAATTTCAAATAGGGTGTGTCCCCAACATTTCCAAGGCCTGTTGGTCCCTTAGTTTGGGGAAGGGATATATGCATGCATGTGTGTGAGCTAGCACACATTTTATTTATATGTTGCCAAACATTAAGCTGGTAATGACTGCCTGAGATAAAACTGCATTCCTTTGTTGTTGGGGGGAGGGGGGGGGAGTTGTTTTGTATTTTTATGTCTGATGTCATTGATCTGCAATATGTTACTCACCATTCTGTTGCAGGGGTGAGGGGAATAGTTTGGTGATAAAACTCCATATTTATAACCGATCATTCAATTCAGAACTGAATTGCATTGTAGGAACTCCCAGAAGATCAAACCAAACAAAAGCAGGGTACTATGTATGTGTGTTTTCATATAATTTTATACGACCAATATCCTATAAGTAGACATACATGTATATATTATCATATATTAATTCTATATTAGTACGCCTGACCAAGCTAATGATATCCATAAAATAGCAATTCACAAGTACTATTAATCAAACCAAGCAATCATACTGGTATCTCACTGAAATAAACACATATATCCATCTATGGTCCCATTCATGTTTTGTTCATTATTGCAGCATGGTTTGAGCATCCTATGTTCTCTCTGGGGTTTAGTAGCTGTGTTTTTGCTTGTTTGTCTCATCCATTTTTATTTTATTTCTAATTTCCATTTTATAATTGATACTTCATGCATTTTAATTTGATTTGACATTCAGTAATTCCCATTATCCCGCATTGCCTTCTATCTCTAGAGTAATGTATGTCCGTTACTTTACTGTGATTGTATCCGTCATTTTTCTTAAAGGGCATTAGATACGTCTCCTGGTTAACAATCTGTTTACCTTGCCACCGCATTAAGACATCATTGCTAGATCTTTAAAAATATATATGTAACTTGGCCTATATTATACAAAACTCAGTTTCCACTAGCCACTGGTGAACGGAGAAAAAAAAATTACTCTTAGTAAGTGTGCCATGGATACTCCTAACGTAACGTAACACATGAAATGGTAAAGTGTCTGGAAAACAAACATGCATTCCTGACACAGTAGTGATAAAATAACTGTTTAGGTCCCTAGCCCTCCTTGCCTCCCTTTGAAAAGGTGACTTTACTCACTTTTTTTCCCATGCTGCGCCGGTTTCACCGCGGCTGGCTCTGCCTCCGTGGCTGATCACATCAAACTTTATCCCATAGGAAAGCATTGGAAGGCTATTGCACATGCGTGGCAAAATGCAGCGCTACACAAATCTGCATCTTCTCACAGTGATGCACCGAATCAGTGCATCTCTATGGGGAACGTTCAGCGCCTCCATGCAGGATGTGGTGATGTTGAATGTAGGGGCTGCACATTGTGCAGAACTGGACTAGGAAAGCACTTCTAGTGGCCGTCTGAGTGACTGCAACTAGAGGTGTTTCAAGGCAGTAATGTAAGCACTGCCTTTTCTCTGAAAAGGCAGTGTTTAGATTAAAAACCCTGCAGGGACAGGTTATAGATACCAGAACAACTACATTAAGCTGTAGTTGTTCTGGTGACTGTATCATTCCTTTAAGTTGTATGTATATATAAAGGTAAACTACACACTTGCAGTGACAAGTAACTTTTTAATACTGGCTTGTAGTATGTGACTTAAATTGTAAGTTCTGCATGTCCAGTATTCGAGTGTCATAATATTTTCTTGTTTACGCCAGTTGCAATTTTCTGTTATGTCGAGTTTTGATCTCTGCAATAATTTTGTGTTACTTGCATTGCATACTGTACCATAGTACTTATAGTGTCTCCTAAACAGGAAGTCTTTGTTAAATTCTCCTCTTGGTGGCCAGCCTGGATATCACCGCATTTTTGACCCTGGAGAATTAATCTCTCTGGAGAATTTGCGGTTTTGGATAAACTGCTATTGACTTTGTCAGAAATGAGAATTATGATAGTTTGACTGCTTGGGTAAATATTGACAGGGGGAATGTTTGTTTTTTCCTGGACAGAACAATGACTGGGAACGTGGACATACAGTGTTTGACAGCTCAGTTACCTATTACTGTAGCATGAAAAGAACAGCAAGCTCCACAAAGGCCAATTTTAATAAGATTATATGAGCATAACAATGCTCTTTAGCAATGATCTTTAACAGTCACAATAGACTTCATTGCACTGATATTGCACACACTGCCAGAGGCATCAGGAACAAACAAACACAAAATATCAAAGTATATGTTGGACGTGTGCTTCTCTTTGCACAGATGAAGCTGCATGTTCTCTCTGCTTTGGTTCCTGCTGACAATCTTCATATCTTGAATTTGGTCGTATGTTTATGAAATTAAAACTAATTACCTGTTCGAGTAGAGGTAAATTGAAAATGGGAAACAGAGTCTGAATGAAGGGGCAAGTAGTTACCCTGACTAGAGGAGGGTAACATTCAGCACTGCAGATGCTGTGGACCGCATCTTCTTTGCTTTGCCACATTATTGCTTTAAGAGCATTATGAGAGATGATGTCCATAACATTCGGAATGCCAAAGGTTGCCTACACAAAGGTTGAGCAGAAGCATTTATTTATGTTCTTTTGAACTTACAGTGTAAATTCATATTGGTCCTCTTGATAGTTACAGCTCTGCCGGTATCTTTATGAATACAGCTGTATTGGTGCATTCTTTCTGTGTGCAGCTATGTTGGCTTCCTCCTGCTGTGTGCAGTGGTATTGCCCTATCTCGCTGTGCTGAATCATATTTGCCCTCTTCCTGTTCTGTGCTGCTGCAATGGCTTCCCCTCCTAAGGTGTGCAACCTGATTTGCCTCTTTCCATTTATACCCATATTCTTCTGGAACTTGCCGGTTAGTGAATAAACATTTAGCCGATATATAAAGGGTAATGAGCAAATAGAATTTCATGTTTGTTCTTAAAGGACCACTATAGTGCCAGGAAAACATACTCGTTTTCCTGGCACTATAGTGCCCTGAGGGTGCCCTCACCCTCAGGGACCCCCTCCCGTCCGGCTCTGGGGAGAGGAAAGGGGTTAAAACTTGCCTTTCTCCAGCGCTGGGCGGGGAGCTCTCCTCCTCCCCGTCGGCTGAATGCGCACGCGCGGCAAGAGCTGCGCGCGCATTCAGCCGGTCACATAGGAAAGCATTAATAATGCTTTCCTATGGACGCTGGCGTGCTCTCACTGTGAAAATCACAGTGAGAAGCACGCAAGCGCCTCTAGCGGCTGTCAATGAGACAACCACTAGAGGAAATAGGGGAAGGCTTAACCCATTCATAAACATAGCAGTTTCTCTGAAACTGCTATGTTTATGAAAAAATGGGTTAACCCTAGCTGGACCAGGCACCCAGACCACCTCATTAAGCTGAAGTGGTCTGGGTGCCTAGAGTGGTCCTTTAAATATTACTTTCTCTGAATAACTCTTTCGTAAAATTGTATTCCAAAGATAAGGTTTAATAAGCTGTGCTTTCCACCAGCTAAAGGTATAAGCTCTTTCCTAGAGCATTAGACATGTCACTAATACACCTATATTATGGACAGAGTTAGAATCCCAACAATATTTCAAGTCAAACATTCCTTGATTTTTCACTTGGTTGATGTTTAGTTGACTCCCTCCCCATTTTTTTTATTAAAAATATGGAAAAAAGAGTATTCTTCAAAATCTTAATGCTTGTACTCTGCTCACATTTCAGATATGCCAATATTTGGTCTCTGCCCAGCCTACGATGAATTCTATCTAGTAATGTGCAGCCAATGTAATCAGGTCATAAAGCCGCAGGCATTTCAATCACATTACGGTAAGTACTTAACTGTTACTTAATAAGTGAGGGTGCCGTTAAATCAGGATTAAAGATGCCAAAATTTGTTTATCTCTTCTAATGGTCCTCAAAGCTCTTGGCATTCACAGCCTGAAATGAAAATATAATATGAGGATATAACATCACCCAGATTAGCCCTTGTGCTTTTTTTTAAGGTCGCAGATGGTAATTTTCTAGTGAATGTGTGAATTGAATTAAAGTCATCCTATTTCCTAGTGTGGAGAGGTAGGAGAGGTTTAGCAGTCTTCTAGTTATTTGACACATCTAGGTCTTAGAAAAAGAGATTGGCATCAAAATACTTTTATTTTAACAAAGCACTTTTAGTGTATAGATCATGTCCCTGCAGTCTCCCTTGGCTGTGACTCACACATAGCCTGCATTAAAAAATGGCTACATTTCAGTCACATGTTAACTTACTTTAGAAGTTTTTAGCTTTTGCTCTGTAAATTGAACTTTACTCACAAACAGTAGGCTCCTGTAGGTTCTAGAAGGCTACTAACAGCAGGAGATAAATTCAGAATCAGACAGACTATGCAATAAAGGAAGTTTAAACATTAGATCTCTCTTTACATGAAAGGTTTAGGGAAGCTGTGTGAATCATGTGCAGGGGTGTGTGGCTAAAGCTGCATAAACAAAAACAAAAGTGATTTAAGTAACAGAGTTGAGCACTGAGACTACAGGAGCATTATCTATACACCAAAACAACTTCCTTTAGCTAAAGTTTTTTTGGTGCCTATAGTATCTCTTTAAGCTTAAATTTAAGAGTGTTAAAGTTAAATTAAGTGGCTGCTTGTCCAAATGTCCATAAATACTGGTAATAATTATGTTAGGCTTTTCATGGTACTCCTGGATGCCAAAATGTATTTCCAGGTGTTTAAATTTTTAGGAACTACCATGTTTCTATAGCAACATTACTGTTTTGTACTCTGTCATCTTACACAGATACATTGTGAAAGATGTGCATGAGTGTTGCAAATAGAAAGTAAATTAAGTTTTAGAAGTGTAGTAACTGCTATATAAATGCAACAAATATTTCTTCTGGTTATACATTACATTTTTAATGTGATCTTGACTTTTGATAACGTTTGTTTGAGCTGAAGTATTACAACAGAAAAAGGTTACAGGTGCTCACTATAGTATGAAAGAAACCGTGGGCAGAAGTGAATCTCACAAGGATTCCCAAATCTAGTGTATAGCAAAGAAATAAAAAAATAAATAAGGATGCACCACGCCAAAACCGCCATGTACACTTAATACGTACATGTACCATACATTAATCAAGTTGGTTTCAGTGATATTACTGCATGATATTTCACCATAATAAATGCTGTAATCCATAGGTTGAAAATACAAAGCAATTAAAGATGACCATGAATTCCTTTAACAACCCATCATTATTCCAAACATATTAACAACATCCATAAACCACTCGGATATTCCAATTGAATTGACATTTACCAGAGCTAACTTCGAGCTCTGTGCGCATACAATCAGAGCTCTTAAGTTAAAACATCCTTGTTTTTTTCCTATTTGTTTGAGTTGGTTCGTCCGAATCAAATACTTTTTAATCCACTCCTGAACTAACTGATCACTCCAGTATCTACCAGTGGAGTTTTATTCAGAGAGCAAGACTTCACAGGTAAATACCAGATGTATCAATTAGTTCGGATGTGGATTAAAAAGTATTTGATTTGGACAACAAGCTCAAACAAATTTGTGCACAAGTCTAATGATTGTGGCACTTTTAGAACTCTGCATCTGCATTAACAATTTTGGAGATTTACAAAACGGTTTTGGAAACCAAAAAGTAAGAGACATTACCATCACAGTGTATTTGCTTCGGCAAACTGAAATAACTGTTTAGCTCTAAATTCACCGGTAAAAAATCTGCATGTCTATTTTGATATGGCCGTTGAAATATAAGCAAGTGGGTGTGTTTATGTAATGAACTGGGAATAATACATGGATCACCTCAGTGCATTCTGGGGGCCATAAATACATGTCCTCGGTTTCTAGAGATTAATGGTCGTTACATTCTGGTGTGGCACCTGCTGCTATTTTAATTACAACAGATAATAGAACGGTCAACGGAACTGCAACACTCACTAATCTTGGGCAGCACTGGGACATTTAACTCCCGCTGCATCCTTTAGTCAGTTGAGTTCTCTTCTTTAACCTCTACAGTACCCAAACACAAAACATGGGACTAAAAACCTCCTACACTACATTATCGCTAAACTTTAATTTCTGCACTAGAACTAAACGTTAATCCCTACACTGTCATTAAAATTACCCCTAACACTAGCCCTTAACTCTTACGCTACTTTAAAACCAACCATAAAATTGGAGCGTGAGGAAGTTATTATTCCTACTTAAGCTTTGTCATTCTGATTCCTTGGTTATTATAATGTTCATGGCATATAATTCCAACCACCACTGTTTATCCTCAGGAATCCAATTCAGGGAAAAACTAATTAAATTACAAATAAATTAGAAAGCTATGCCATATAATGTGGAATGCACTAGTTCACTAAACAGTATTTGTGACAGTTGGCATGTACTAAAAGCCTCGTCACCTTTTCAAACCTGTTTGCAAGACACCGCTTCTAACAGTAATTCTGGGACTAAATCTGTTTCGTGGGAGGTATCACAGCCTGAAGTGATATGGAGACCCAGTTTGTAAGCCCTTGGTAGAGTGAGTGCATATTAAAGGGACACTATAGTCACCAGAACAACTACAGCTTATTGAATTTGTTCTGGTGAGTCGAATCATTACCTTCAGGCTTTTTGCTGTAAACAGTCTTTTCAGAGAAAATGCAGTGTTTACATTACAGCCTAGTGATAACTTCACTGGCCACTCCTCAGATAGCTGTTATAGATCCTTCCTGGGTCATGGCTGCCTAAAATGCATCCAAGCATTCAGTATCTCCTCCCTCTACACGCAGACACTGAACTTTCCTCATAGAGATTAATTGATTCAATTCATCTCTATAAGGAGATGCTGATTGGCCAGGGCTGTGTTTGAATCATGCTGGCTCTTCCCCCGATCTGCCTCTTTGTCAGTCTCAGCCATTCCTATGGGGAAGCATTGTGATTGGATCAGGCCACCACTTCTGATGATGTCAGCAGACTGCTTGTTTTTTGTTTTTGTTTTTTGAGGCAAACCGCATGCAGAGTTAAAGCTTCTGGCTTGACTACAGTAAGATTTTTACTATATTTATGGAGGCATGAGGGGCCAAGGGGGGCTAGATGGTGGTGTTAACACTATAGGGTCAGGAACACATGTTACAAGTAATCCTTTAAAGTGGAACTGTCACTTGTGAGAGTTTTGTAACACCTGATTAGCTTTAGCTGCCACCTGTAGCACTATTGAAGGAATACCTTAAATTCTTCCCAAGCATCATGAGGCAGTGTGGTCTTCCTGAACACGTATTCTTCAGAACTAAGTGCATTTTATTTACATATCTCTGCTGCTACTCATCCCAGTAATCACTTTAGTAGCATTTACTGGGATAAAGGCACGAGGAACTCTCACAATCAGAGAAGGACTGTTCTGCTACATTATATATTTTTATAATATATACAAGACCATACACAGCCTCTACGGAGTAGGCAAAATTGGCATGCCTTTATTGAAACAAAGACACAAAAAATAAGATGCAGGCCTTAATCGTCTATGTATAAATTCAGCATATACATGATTATGGCTTGCATGCTGTTTTTTTGTTTGTTTGTTTGTTTTTTTTGTGTGTGCCATTGTTTCAATAAATTTGTCCAATTAATGTCTGTGTAATGCTTTGGTCGACTTATATTATAGTATTACTGATCCTTTCCCCAGTGCCTCAGATGCAATGTTGGCCTCACTACCTCTTTATCCGTAAGTGCTTCACCACTCTATATATTATAAGTATAGGTTATACAATTCATAGTTACTGTTTCTGCCCTGTTTACACTGTGTGTTCGTGTTCATTTGAGCCTTTAATCTTACCACAAAATCAAGAGTTTGTTAGATAATATTACTATCAATAACTTTTATTGCTTTCAAGTTTATTTTTGGAAAGGTGCTGCCTGGCATCCTATCAAAATATATGTAAACTAGTTTTAATAGCTGTGCCATATCTCTGTAGTGTCTTCCGTAGCACTGTGTAAAGCATGGGAGATAAGATGCGATCTTTAGCTTGCTGGGTCCTCTGCTTCACGTGTTGTGGATAAGTGTCTTCCCTCTGAGCCTCTGTATGCACACATCTGTATGCATTCAGTGACTGAGGCTTTTCGTATGATAATCAGGTCTAACCTAGAAGACTCACTGTGGGTGTGTCACTGGTAGATTTAGGTAATGCAGCTATCAAAGCATGGTTAGGGAATGCTGCTGGAGCACAGACGTCTGCTTTTACAATTGAACACTAGGGGGCGCTCCTGACTTCATCATTGTGTGTTTATTGCAGACCTTATAGTCTGATGCCCGAGGCAAAGTGCGTAGCATTCAGACAAGCCTTTAAAGCGTTTGGGATTGAAAGAATGGCTAGATCAAAAAGTATATCTGGTTTCTATGTGAAATTGAATCAACCCTGGTGTACTTTTTATGCCGTGCCCCTACAGATGAGTTTATAACCTAGAGCAGAGATTTCCACTGTTACTGGAACTTCAAATCCTGTGATGTTCTTTTAGTCTGAAATGAAGACTTCCCAGGATTTTTAATATTCTTTTTACTTATCACTAACAAATATGCCATAATTAGGTGTGAAGATTAAATGTAGAAATACAAACCTCTTTATCCTGATACTGTGCAGCTACATCTTAGCTCCCTTTCAGTATTTTTTTCTGAGCTCAATTGGACCTTTAATAAAAACCATACAGAGAAGAGGAGACAATGTGTCTTTCTCCTCCCCATTTGCAATGGATTCCCTTGGTTATCCTTGTCTAAACTGAATTATAAAGTAATTTGCGAAAACATTAATATAAAGAAAAATAGAGCATATTGTGGAAAAATGAATAACGCCAGAAAAGTGTTGGTTCTCCCTTGCGCTGTGAAAGCATAATGGCGTTGTAATTCTGCAACATCTGAGGATACTCATTTTGATCACTCGACGTTTACAAGATATAAGAAATAATGCATGGTGGCTGCTATGAACAGTTGCATCTGGCCTGGTTTTAAATCATACAGGATTATTTACTAAAGTGAATAAAAATTTAAAGGCAAAAGACAACCACCTAATTTAAAGCTTTAGGAAAAGGCATGTAAATATAATTTGTTCGTATTTACCTGCTTTTTCTTTCTTATGCTTTCCACGCTCCATTCTAAACAATCAGTGTTGTATCCCTAGGAATGCTGGAAAAGCTCATTGGGCATACCAGCAAGATTTACACATGTGCAGTTGGAAGATCTCTTCACCTTGCAACATCCTTACAGGGGAGAAGAGAGGGAGTCTGATCACGTCAGGTCTCTCTCTCTCCTGCTGCTGCACAATGATGCCTTCTTTCTGTGATTAGTGGACTGGTCTGAAACGGAGGTGGGTGGTTAATAGGAAAGTGAGGGGGTTGAAGAAACTCCCCTAGTTGAGGCATACCCAAAATTGCAATCTGACCACGTTTATAGCAAGTGGATAAATGTTTATTACATACATTTCAAACTTTATCTTGCTTCATTTTGGTTAAAAGAACACTTTAACATTAGGAATACAAAGATGGGGTTTTGTCCAACGCTGGGAGTCCTCATTCAGAGCTTGAGGATGTCCAGCGTCGTTTCACAGAGTTAAACTCCAGGAAGTGCCTCTAGTGGCTGTCTGGTAGATACTAGTGGCAGTCTTAGTACTGCAATGTAAACATTGCATGACTTAAGGAGTGCAAGAACAGTGCACCCAGAACACTTCAATGAGTACCTTTAATATATTTGTTTAAAAGTGTTTACTTGCTGATTTAAGAAAATAATTGGCAAGTGATAAACTAACAGAAGTGGCAGGTGTAGAAGTCGGCATGCCCGAAGGGAGAGCTTTAGAGGCTGTTTCACTGTGAAGAGACTTTTGGTCTCTTTCAGGTGAAAGGGAGAGGACTTCCAGAGGCTGCAGTTCACAGGAACTGCAGCTTTATCAACTCTTTTCAGATATACCCCCACTGAATGCATGCATGTATTCATTGTGGTATAGCTACTAAGCGTTGAATTATATACAATTGAGCAGTGGAGTGTGCCTTTAAAGGGACACTATAGTCCTCAAAACAATTCAGCTTAATGAAGCATATTGGGTGTATAGATTATGCTCCTGCAGTCTTGCTGCTTAATTCTCTGCCATTTAGGAGTTAAGTCACTCGGTTTATGCAGCCCTAGTCACAGCTCTCTGCATGTGACTAAATACTCCCTGAAAAGAGACATCTAAAGTTTATACTTCCTTTACTGAAAATTCTGTTTAATTTAGAATGTCTTAGCTCCTGCACTGTTGATGGCTTGCTAGACCCTGCAGGAGCCTCCTGTTTGTAATTAAAGCTCAATTTAGAGAGCAAGAGAAAAAAAACGTTTAACAGAAGTTAACATTTGGTTGAAAAATTTAACTTTTTTTTTATGCAGGCTGTCAGTCACAGCCATGGGAAGTGTAGCTAAGGCTGCATAAACTGAAACAAATGGATTTAAAGGAATATTATAAGGTGAAGAACACAAACATGTATTCCTGACCCTACAGTATTAAAAACACTATCTAGCTCCCCCTAGCCTCTCTATATTTAGTAAAATCTTACCTTTATTCCAGTCTGCTGGTGCTGGGTTTGTCCCTGATCTGCCTCCTTGGCTGACCTCATCAGAAGTGATGATCTCAGCCAATCTCAGTGCTTTTAGCTGTGATTGTCAAGAAGGCGGGACGGGGATTAGCTAAACACTGCCCTGGCCAATCGGCATATACTCCTAAAGATGCATTGAATCACTGCATCTCTTTCACTGAATGTCAGTGCTGCACAGTGTGCAGCACTGCTCCAGAAAGCACATCTGTTCCTAGGGAGCAATGTTAACACTGTCTTTTCTCTGAATAGACCGTGTTTACTGCAAATAGCCTGCAGGGACATAGTATAGACACTACAACAACTTTATTAACCTGTAGTTGTTCTGGTGACTATATTGTCTCTTTAAGTCCTAAATGGCAGAAAATTGAGCAGTGAAACTTCAAAGGCATGATCTATACAAAAATACTAAGATTAGTATTATTATAGTATATTATGAGTGTTTGGTTTGTTTGTGTGTTCATTCTTTCTCCCCCTCCCCCACCCCCTTTCTGGTTTAGTTTGCATATTTTTTTGCTTCTAACCATTGCTCCTAGATTGTAGGGAATTTTGTTGAATCCTTATCCATTTATTGTGCCTAAAAAATGCACAATTATCTAACCAGCCATTAAATGTAGTGTCTCTTTTAGTGGGCATATGTTGTTTGTTTCTTTTAGGGTCATTCCTGATGCTTAGAGGATGATATAAATTGTTACAATGCTTTGGCTGGTTAACATGACTTGATTCTCAGTTTCTTAAAACACTCTATATTTATTATTTGTGAATAATGTTGAGTGGACATTTTAATGAAGGGAAACGTTTAATATTAACATTACTCTGAAAAAATGTACACTGTAACTGTAAGACCACAAAAAAAAGTAATGGAAGATAAAAGTTTTATGTGTGTTTTAGATGAACTTCTACTTCACATTATTATTATTTTATGGTTTATAAAGCGCCAGCAAATTCCGTACCGCTGTACAATCAAATTTTTTTCTTGTATGTCAAATGTAATTTAAATAAATAAAATGCAGTTGTTGTTTGTCGCAAAGTTAAAGGATCCATTTCCGGTGTCGTGTGCAATTGTATCTGTTAATATTCTTTATATAAATATATATATTTAATTTTATGCAACTTAAGAAAACCTAGTTTTGGCAGCTCTTTTGTAGCCGTTGTCATTGGAGATATCCATGAAGAGTGCTCCTGAATTGGCTTAGAACAATTGGTCTATTTTATAAAAAAAAAAAAGAAAAACACATTGGTAATTGAGGGGTTAAAAGAACTTTGGCTTTAAAAGAGTAAGGCAGCTTCTGTTGTGACCGCACTGGATACCAAATTAAGCCACATCCCCTTGTTTTCATTTTTTTTTTTTCCTTTCCTCCTCCTCCTTTTTTATTTTTTTTATTTTTAAATATATATTGTATCTGCCAGGACCTGCGCGGCTGAATTTCATTTTACAATAGTGGCAAATGTTACATAAGCTCCAAACATGATGCCTGGTGTGCAATCTGTGGGCAGACCCCCAAGCATGACAGGGAAGGACCTGTTTGTCAGGAGCGGAGGGTGTAAAGAAGCACGATCAAAATATGTGAATGGGAGTTGGTAGGAAGGATTTTTGTTGTTGTTTTTTTTTTGCAGGCTGTAGGGAAGGCGAAAGCATTTTTTTTTATCTCAACACAAGCAGTTTTTCAGAGGTTGGAATTGGCTGCAAGCCATCTCTGCATGGAGTTTGCAGAAGGTGGGTACAGCATCGTTCTAAATACGGAACTGCAGAAACGAAACGTACATCTGTTTTCAAAGAGTTTTCTTCCCCCCCCCCCACCCTTCATTATGATCACGGTTTGTTATGCTATTTATATCCTTCTTTTTTGTATGTATGTGTTTTTGCTCTCTCTTTCCGAAGTGGAGTGTTAAAGTCGTCTGTCCAGGGCAGAGTTGATCAAAGTGGATAATCTCGCAAACGAGGGATTAACTGATGCAAGCGGGCCACATAAGCCTTTCTGAAATGTCATTCGAGTGGCTTGGCCAAAGTTCAAAACCAGATGGGTGTTGAGTGTGCCGTTAACTCCTGTGAAATGCGGATGCCTGCAGGAACTGATGGATTCAAGACAAATGCTTGTTTAGAATCATTGGTCAAAGGAGTGTGCTTGTTTACTAGAATATTCACTAATCTGGAATGGAGGCCAGAGAAAATCTGGGATCTTCCTGGTTTATTCCTATGATCTTGCAGCACGTGTTTAACCCCTTGCAGAATAAGGGTTTCCTTAATTACTGCTTTTTGGTTGTTGATTTTTATAAATATTCCTGCTTCCTGTATATGTTCAAATGTTAGTCATATGCTGATTTCTTACACTATTCATACAGCCATGCTAAATAGAGTATATTCAGGAAGGATAAAGATTTTACTTTAAAGAATTACAATATTCTACATAATGTTATATGTATTGCTTTGTAATTCAATCAAAGATTTTTTTTTTAATGTAATTGAAGCGTAAATATGCAAAGTATGAAACAAGGAGTCAAAACAGATACATGTGTATATATATATTATATGTAATATCTAGAAGTGGTAACAGCCCCAATCACACGCAGTTTCTATTTGTTGTGTGAGAGTACGTTTGATTACATGGTTTAGGTACTGAACCCCTACAAGGGGTGTGTCATGCACACACAAGAACGCAGTCTTTTTTTACATGACTTATATGGCTTAGAGCACGTTGCATGCATACATTTTAGAAGACTCAAGAGCACATGTTCACACAGTGTTCAAAATTTTCTTTTTAATTTAGTATGTGCAGTTGCCTGGTCACGCTAGCATAGTGAGTGGTTCAGTATGTCCGCATATTGGAGTTCAGTCCAGTCTAAGCATATAACCTGTATCATTCTCTTTGTAATAATGTATACATTGCCCCATGGTTAAACTAAAGAGAGCAATTGTTTATGGAGAATTTAAGATAATTTGTAAATGTTCTCGTTAAATAATTAGTTGCAAGTAAAGTAATCTGTGACCCAAAGACATTATCAAATACAGGCCGTCTACCTTGGTAAAGCTCTGCTGTGCCTCTATTGCAGCATTCAATAGTTAAGTTGCCAAGGAACACATTTGCTGGAGTATTTGTTTTTATTACTCTTATGATTTTGTGACATTTTTGCAATTCATTTAAAATACAAATCACGTGTCAAAAATCCTTGACATTTTTGCTGGACAAAAGAGACTTATAGAGCGGTGTACCTAGTATATCCTGGGGTTTCTAAGTCACATGGTCTTCCTTTCCTTTTTATGTGACCAATTTCACACTATTAAATTTTAACTAATAAATCTTCTTCATAACCACTTGTGCTACCGATCCTTAGTTTGCTTGATCTAGATTCATGTTTGTTAAAAGAAGTCAGTTGGTTGTAAGGTTCTGCAGTCATTTTTTGCTTTCTTGTTGATAGGTGTTCAGAGCTATTTTTTTTACCATGGAAGTTCAGTATTTGTTAGTATATATATATATATTAAAAAAGTTACCACAAGCTAATAGTCCTTCAGTTGCATGCATTTGCATTTATTTCACTATAGAACAATATTACAGCTTGTTAAATATATGAATATGTAATAGCATCAAATACCAACAGTATTGGAGAGTCAAAGGTCACCAGCCATTTTAAATCTTTGAGTTTTACATTTCTGCATGTAATATCTGGTATTTTGCTTCACCGCCTGTGTTAGTCAAGTAGTTTGAAATCATTTTGAAATGGTGAGAAATGTTTTATTCAAAAAATCAAAACTGCTTGACAAAATGGGTGTCATGATACATTTCTATACTGCCTTCTTCAGGATCGAGACCATATATCATAAATGACAATATGTCTCCAGATAAGTTTGTTTGTGGACATTACCTCTCTGCATGCAATATGACTCTCTCATTCATCTGTGGTCAGAAGAGGTGCTTAATTTTGCCTGTTTATAAAATCGGACTGGTTGGTCCTGATAAGCCTTTGGTTGCTTTAGCAATATGTTAAAGGGACACTATAGGCACCCAGACCACTCCATCTCATTGAAGTGGTTTGGGTGCAGTGTCCCTATCCTCCTTAGCCCATCACTGTAAAACATTGCAGTTTCAGAGAAACATGTTTACATTGCAGTGCCAATGACTGCCTCTACTGGCTGTTTACAAGACAACTACTAAAGCCACTCCCTGGATTCTAGCAGACTCTGAGTCCTTTAAACGACGCTCGGCATCCTCACGCTTTGCATGAGAACAGCCAGCATCCTCAAAATCCCCATTGATTCAATTCAATTCCTATTAGGAAGGCCCAATGCATGCGCAACTGCACATTAAATTCCTCCTCTTTTTTTTTTTTTTTTTCTTTTTTTTGTCAAAGAAAAGTGCTTTCATCTTCCTTAAGTGAATCAATAATTTTGACGATTTTTTTTCTTTTGCAGCATTTAGTTGGACATGTACAGATACAATGCTTTTATACACTTGCATTCTACAGCTACTGACCGTAAATGATGATGTAGTGCAAAAGACAGTCATACATATCCAAGCCTTTAGGCTATTATCAGCATGTTTTGCTAAAGAGGTGGTATACGTTGGATCATGTGAAATTCTATTCTTTCTTTAAAGTATTTTTGGTTTTGAGGCTTACCAATGGTTTGCATCTTTATCATACTATTTGATACTTGTAGGTCTGCACCATAAAATGTTCTGTTTTTCAGATGACTGTGTTTTTTTGGATTTATTTTTTTTCTTCTTTTTCTGAACAGAAAGTCTTCTTTTATCACCCACTAAATTGATCTTCCAAGGCCTGTCGGCAATTTGACGTTGAGCTTTTGCATTTCAGCATTGTACTGCACAGTTGAATTTTTTTCAAATCCTTATGTTGCTTATTGATTTTATTCTGATATATCAGCCTTAGGATATTCTGTTTTACTGTCATTGTTCCTTTACTCCATTAATAAAGTTGCCTCTTGTCTGTATACTAACAATATCATGACACCAGAAACATTTGGACAGCCTATAGTCCATTAACTGTTGGTTCCTAAAGTAAACATGTTAAAGGGACACTATAGTCACAAGAACAACTACAGCTTATTGTACAGTCCCTTCAGGCTTTTTTGTAGTAAACACTGTCTTTTCAGAAAAAAAAGGGTAGTGTTTAGATTACAGCCTGAGGATACCTCCAGTGGCCACTCCTCAGATGGCTACTAGAGGTGCTTCCTGGGGCATTGCTGCACAGTGTGCAGCACTGATATTAATGGACCACTATAGGCACCCAGACCACTTCAGCTCAATTAAGTGGTCTGGGTGCCAGTTCCCTCTAGGTTTAACCCTGCCTGCTGTAAACATAGCAGTTTCAGAGAAACTGATTTTCACAGTGAGAAGACGCCAGTGTCCATAGGAAAGCATTGAGAATGCTTTCCTATAAACTGGCTGAATACGCGAGCGGCTCTTGCCACACATGCACATTTAGACGATGACTTCCAAAGGAGGAGGAGAGTCCCCAGCGCCGAGGGAGACCGGCACTGGAGAAAGGTAAGTGTTTAACCCCTTCCTCCAACTTCAGCCCAGCGGGAGGGGGGCCACGAGGGTGGGGGCACCCTCAGGGCACTATAGTGCCAGGAAAACGAGTTTGTTTTCTTGGCACTATAGTGGTCCTTTAACCCCTTAAGGACACATGACATGTGTGACATGTCATGATTCCCTTTTATTCCAGAGGTTTGGTCCTTAAGGGGTTAAGTGTATCCACCTTCTGCATGGAGACACTGAACTGTCCACGTTTTACTATATTTAGGAGGGTAAGGGGAGCCAGGGCTAGATGGTGTTTTTAACATTATAGGGTCAGGAATACATGTTTGTGATCCTGACCCTATAGTGTTCCTGTAAGTGTGAAATATTTTTACAATTCTTTATAGTTTATGAATGCAGATACACTCAGACTGAAGCCAAAAGGCCACACTTTACTCTCTTAGTCAATTCAGAACCAAAGCACCGTAGTGCAGTAAGAAAGCTTATGTTACTGTCCAAGTTCTTGTGGACTGTGCTATGTAAATGGTATGTTACGGTAACAATGAATAATATGGGTGAATTATTCCATTGGTGGAATAATGCATGTCTTTATCTCTACCCTGCTAAATGTTTTTGAATTTTAACGCTCATATGTATTTGCATTTTTATCTGAAGCCAATTAGAGCTCCAAACATGTCATGAAGCATGGTTTTCTTGTTATCCAAGTTTGCCAGGCTTAATTCACTTATGACTCCATCTTATGAGTCAGCTTCTGCAAATGTGGGGATATGGACCCAATTTATGCAAAATTAAGCACAAGGAAAAAAGTGTATAAAATTTGCTCATTGTGGCACCATGATTTAATTGTGCTAGAAGGAAGTGACATAAATTAGTTTGCATGTATCATAGCAGTCTTTTCACTAGTACAAGCCTTTTCTGACGTTAGAGTATTTTCTCAAAACTGTGGGCGGTATGCAAAAATGTAAAAAATACCCAAATAGCTTTTTAGATGCTTTTTACTTATATCAGAGTTGGTGCCATTAATATAATCTCACTTTAGAACAGAAGCAAATATAGAAAGATTCTAATCTGTTTAACAATAAAATAAGGTAAATAAAGAAGCTGTAAATGCCAGTTTGGCTGGCTGGCTTGGCTTACAAAGTATTAGACATGGTCTATATTAGATTAAATCTACTATGTTTTATGTTTTGTGTCTTTGTGATGCTTTCAAAGTCCTACCAACTGATGTTAAACGTGCAGAAGAAAACGTGTGTAGGACTGGCTAACAGTGAACTCTGTTAAACATGCGCTCAAACACTTTAATTATGCACGCAGAGTGCTTGTGGTAACAGGAATATCATTCTGTTTTATCTCGTTGTGGCGATCTTCCTTGTAGCAGCATTTTGTGTTCCTCTGTTAGAAGCGGTACTGCTAAAAGGATGTCCCTTTATTATTTGCCACAGGGCTGGTTAGTGTTTAAGTGGATTGTGCTTTCATATCGCAGTTTTTAGCATGTAGTATATGCGCTTAAATAGCATAGTTACATTAAAACTGATTGGTCTGGTATTTTTTTCATTGTGTATAACAAAAATGTTGCAGACCCTTTTGTTTGTTTTTTTTCTTCTTCTTACGTATTTAATTTTCAACTCCAGGCACCATGGCTACTTTATGTTGAAATTAAGTTGTTATAGTCCCTTAAAACTTTACTGTAATACAGTAAGCTGTAGTTCTGTTAACAATAGTGTCCTATTAACTATTTGGGTGACTGGCCCCCCTCCAATCGCATGGGAAAGGTGGTTTCTCCACAGCTGGCCCCCGCCTCCATTACTGAGATCATCAATCAAAAGTTAAACCAATAAATCGTGATCACAACATTTGAGCCTTCCTCTTTGGGACCCAGTTATCTCATGTTGCTTTAATAACTCAAATACCAATGTTTTAATTGTCTGACATCTTTAATAGCCGACACAACTGCTAATTGTCCCATCTCCATTCTATGACTGGCATTTGTAATTAGTGAAATCCCTTTTTCATGTGTATATTTGCGTTTATACGTTTTATATGTTCTGATTAATTCTGAGATCAGAGACCAATAATATCCTATTAAAAAAGGAAAGAACATTTTGCACATTATTGGTTTTGATGTATTTTTGCAAATAAAAATTCTTTACCATGTAAAGTGATTTCTAAGCATTTCCTTGCTAAGGTTTTATGGTCTCTGTTTCTCTTTTCACAGAAAGAAGACACGGTTCCTCCAGCAAGCAGCCCCTGACACCTCCTTCCACGTCAATGTGTTCCATCTATTCCACTGTTGCAAAAAGCAAAACGGGCAGTGGTGGCAGCACCACCACCAGCACACGGGCGTCCGGTGGAAGCAGTGCCTCATCCAACTCCAAGCTGATGAAATCTCCCAAAGAAAAGCTGCAGATTGGTGGAAACAATAGGTCAATGCATCCCATGCAACAAAACAAAGTCGCCCAGGATAAAATGTATGCGCTTAGTGTACTTTTATTTCAAATAGCGTGCATGCATTTTCTCAGCCGTCTACTATAATGATGTAATTCTCCAGCAGAAACTAGACTTACTGGATGCTCCATTACAATATGAGGTGTACTAATGCAAAACCGTGTCTATCTTTGGGCCTGCAGCTATTATAAACAAATACAATTAAAGGGATTTGTGCTGTTTAACCCACCAATGTGTACACTTACAAATATAATAAAATCTACACACACTATTATCATAGTTACCAAATATAGTTATGAAGATTACTGACACAAAATGTGTCCTATAAATATATATTGGGGAAAAAAGGCACATTGTTATGTATTATGAAAAGCATTCCGTATAGAATTAATCTAGATGGAAGTGTGTGTGTGTGTGTGTGTGTGTTTTCTCAAAGTTAATTAATATATACTTACCTAAATTGTGACTGTTCCATCTAGATTAAGTCTATATTGAGTGCTTTTAACACTACACTATAACCTATTATGGCTGACTTAGAATTATTGAAACGTTAGTGCGAGAATAGCTAGATGGCCAAATTTGATTGTGAACAGTCTAGAAAATGTTTTGTGGGTTATAATACACTCTGCATTCAATATCCTTGTGTGCTTTTTAAAGCAGATAATCATGTTAAATTATGTAGGATGTTGTTTATAAGAACAACCTAGTCTTTGAAGTGTTAAACTTATTTTTTTTCTGAATATGAGAAGCCCTAAATTCTAAAAGACTTCTAAAATTCTATAACATTTCCCAAAAAAAAAAAAAGCTGTCCATGGAGACCCTGAATGTTCTCTATATAGGTTCGTTAATTCAATGCATCTCCGTGAGGAGATAATGGTTGGTGCAGTGAGATTATTTGCTGCACATGCATATTAGCCTCCCAATTCTGCCATATGGAAAAGCATTGGATTGACTGAGATCATAAAGACTGATGATCTCAGCCAAGGAGGTGAAGCATCAGGACGGGGACAGGGCTGGCGATGGAATAAAGGTAAGTAAATCTCTTTGATTTAGGGGGCCCCAATAATCTAACTAGATATCAGGATACTGTAGCGTTAGGAATACGTGTTTTCTGTAAATCCTTTAGTAGGTTGTTGTTCGTATATGCATGGCTTCTTTAAGGAACAGAATACTGGACAATGTTAAACATTGATTTGTAATGTTGTAAAACCTGAATAGCTTTCCAGTCAGTTGAAAAAAGCTTTAATTTCGTTTAGACAACCAACTAATTCATTCGAATTTTGAGTATTATTTTCTCCATAAATTATATCTGAATTTAAGATTACTTTTAGAGTGGTTTGCTTTCCCTTAATTAATTGTATGGGGGTTTTTTTGCTACGCAATTGATGGTATTGGAAGATCAATGTCTTTGAGAGGCTTGATCTAATTTAAAACATAGTTGTAACTAAAACTTGTGGTTCGTTCTTTTGAAGATATATCACATCCATCCAGGAAAATGGGAGGATTTTGTTTCTGTGGAACTGTTTTCATTCTTTATCCTCTGCTGTATATCAGGAATGTAAATTTTTTGAGTAAACATTCTAGTTAATAATAAAACGTTTTTATAATTAAATCTCTTTGAATCCTCACCAGAATGACACCGTCTGTTAGAGTGGAAAAGGTGCATTCAAACCCAAAGATCGATGGGATGTCAAAGCCTGCTGTGGGTCCTAACTGTACTTCTACTGTGACTTCCTCAATAAAGACTGGCCTTAATTGTCCATCAATACCAAAGCCACCCTTGCCTTCCCCAGGACAAATACCAAATGGTAAAGGTATTCTCTCGACTCCTCCTGTTTTGGAAAAGAAACCTGATGATACCCACAGCCGGAAATTTTTACACAAAAGATTGTCAGGTGTGTATCTACTATTTTTGTCTGACTTTATATCTGACTATAATGTTGAGTTTGTATTCCCTTACGTAGGAATTATCCGACATTGCAATTTATTTCATTGTATGTTTTTGGCTTTCTGTAAATCCTCTTTATTTAAAAGTATATTTCCAGATGTTTTAAAACACGTGATATCAATGTGTGAGTACTCTCTAATCCATAAAATATAAGTTAAACATTTAAATTTAGTCAGAAAACATGAAGATGTGTTACTGTCCCTTAAAGGGGCACTTTAACTGAAATAGCTTCTGCAGCTCAGTATAGTGGTTAATTTGTCAAGAGTGTCTGTGCACCATCTCAGTGCTTTGTCACACTATTTGGGAGCAATAGCCTAAAACTGGGAGGCTAATCCATCCCCAGTACTTTCAGCTTATTGCTGATGCCTAGGTTGAATGAAATTACCATTTGATAATTCAAAAGTATAAATTCCACATTCTAAATGTGGCCCAAGACTAGGTTTCTCTGAGTGCTTGAGAGAACCTTGTTTTTGTCAGTGTGTTCCTATATGGTTGGACTTATAACTAAAGGGGATGTTTCCAGAGACTCGGGTGTTAACCTCATCTTTGGTGTTTTGACTTGATTTTCAGTTAAAATATGTCATACTGTAAATTAAACTATCTCAACAACCTATACATGTAAGATTTTTTTCTTTTACTTTTAAGGCATGAGTAAAGGTATATTGTATGTGTGAGTAATGTATTTAAAGCTTTGTGAATGCATGTACAAAATAATAGGGGGGAGAAAAATACTGTTTGCACCTAACACTTCTGGCAGGTGGTAGGTTTTTTTTTTTGTTTTGTTTTTTTGAGGATTCCTGCTATTGGCTTGTAATGGATTCATGAGTGTTAAACTGACTCCTCCCCCCCACCCCCACACACACACAACCCCAATCTTCCCCCTCCACCCCATTTGTAGAGTGTACATGGAAATGTAAAGTTTTGAATTTGGTGGGGAGGTACAAGGTTCTCATAGGAATAGAGAATAAATAGTGAGGAGATTGTGTTTTGTGACCTCTGGGTCATCTTAAATCATTCATGTGAAGAAGATTTGGTCTGGAAAGTATGTGGAGGTATTGACGTCAATACAGATGATAAACATATCTAGTAAAGGCATTAGCTTGTGGGAAATAATAAGATGGAGCAGTCTAAAGGAGCAATTGTCGGTCTGACACCATGTGTCCTTTTTGGAAACGTGCAAAACAATAAGTCAATAGGTTAGATGCAACTGGTCACATGAAAGATCATGTTAATATTATGTAGCCTCCAGTAGTGTAGAATAATGACAATTTTGCAAAGAGGCTATTAAATAGGCAAAAGAGGCAATCCAAGTGATGAAGATAACCTAGATTGACTGCCCTGATCTGATGAATAGCCTGAACTTTGTGTAGTGTTTGTATGGCCAATAGGAGATTTGTTTTTTCACATTCATAAGCGTCAGGAATTTTTCTTTAGTAGATACTTTTTTTGATTGGCCATTTTCAGGGTTGAAGTTGGGAATACGGAGTCTGGTCATGCCCATTTGTTTTGGCTGTTCATATAAAATTTTAGGAATTGTTGTTAGTCAACACAATTGCTTTTAGGGGTTCATTTGGGTGGTTGTTACCTTGTCTGTTTCCTCATCTGTTTGTGAATACAGTTGGCATGTGGTCATACCCACACTTGTTTCATAGATACAATGGAGAGTTGGGGACTGGTCATCCCTTTGTATATTAAGCAGGTACAACAGGTAGGTTGAGAACTGGTCTTTTTCACTCTTGTTAATTCAGGCAATGGAGGACTGGTCACTCCAAACACATATTACAGTGACTTTTAAAGTTTCTTTGTTTTTTGTTTTTTTTTGCCCACTATATTGCATCAGTAGTGTTTCATCACTTCATTAATTGAGTTGACTATTCAAAAGTAGCTCTTTCTGGTCTCTGGAGCCGGAACGGAACAGTTGGAAATAAATTTCAAAATTCTTTTGCTTACAACAGGGGTTTCTGGGACATGTAGATCATTTTACTTTTAAAAATTGTTAGAGCTAAACGACTATATAGCTTTGCTGTGCTTCCTGATAACTTGTGCACCTGTGTTTAGGGTTTTGTTTTTCTTTTTTAATACAACCGATTAGAAGCTGGTTATTTTTGTTTAGAGTACCCTTTCAACTGGATATTTGTACAGAAATCTACAATATGTCAAATTTATATATATAGCAATCTGTCAAATTCTGTATCTCTGTATAGAAAGCATATGTACAGAGGAGAATGCATTGTCTGTAGACTGCAGTTTCAGGAATTGTGGCTGAACTCAACATGGCATTTTCTGTCTGAAAACAAGTTAGAACAATATACTTATGTTGCACACTTTAAATAGTGATCAATTCACATTTTGTTTTTAATTCTGATAATTAAATAAAAAAGAAAATCATGCACACCAGTAATATATTTCTTACTAGTATGCTTAATTTTATTTTATTTTTTTGTGGAATTTAATTTAAAAAAACTAAACTGAACACCAAATCCTTTCAAAATGCTCTTGCATTATTCCTGTATTTTGGCCCATTTCTCCGGTAATATGAACTCTTTATTAAGTTCCAAAGGATGCCTGCCAAATTTTGATGTGCATACTGTATCAATCTTTTTAATTTAAAAGTGACTCTTCACTTTAATTCCATTATACAGATCGAGAGTTTGACCCAGATATACACTGTGGTGTTGTCGACGTAGAAACCAAGAAGCCCTGCACTAGGTCCTTAACATGCAAGGTAAGAGGATATTTTGTTGAGAGTGCAACTTGTTGTTCTTTATTACTCTTACTGTTCTTTCTTTAACTGTTTGTGATGATATGGTTGGCATACCTACTTTATTCACCAGTATTGTATGGTGTCTGGCTAGTTACCAGGAGCCATGTTTCTCCCTATTTTTATACTGATGTGACCCAACAAGAGAGGTTTAAGCATATATGCATCTCTGGTAGCTGGTCGGTCACCTGATGGGATTTTCTTGGATTCAAATAATTGTATGTGTTGTGAACTGACCTGGCTCTCTCGCGCCTGAAATATGTAATGATGGGAAACAAAGTGTAATTACGTATTTATTTTTTTCATATAATTTATTTTAACATGACATTCTCACCTTAAAGGATGAACTGGTCTGGGTAAAGTGGTCCTGTCATTTTTAACTCTGCAATGTGAAACATAGCCACATTTTTTTCAATTTAAAACTGCAATGTTTACATTCAAGGGTTAAATCCACCTGTACTGGCTGTCTTCCTGAAATACACTAGAGGCGCTTCCTCCTCCAGACAGGATAAATTGATTCAGTCTAGGAATCAAATTGCTGTTGATAGCAGCATTTGATTAGTGGTGCGCCGTGCATGCCTAGTTCCAATCCATTGCTTCTTTATGGAGGAGATCACGAGTGATGTGAGCTTGGATGTTGACATCAAAGGTGGAGCCGGAGCCTGCATCAGAGAAGCTTCCGTGCTGTAAACTTTATTTTACTTTACTTTACACAGCAAAATGAAATGGACAGAAGGGAAATTGTATAGTCCCTAAACAACCATTGTAATTGTCAGGACTATAGTTTCTCTTTAAAATACAAAAATGTAAGTCCCTTTTTAAGTTTCAATTCTTTAATTCGTCAAAACATTCCAAAATAAAATCTGTGAAGTTTATACAGCTAAATGTCTGCACCATGTGATATTTCCCTGCCATACTTAAACAGGCTTGACCTGTAGATCATTCCTCTTGTTTCTTATTGACTCTGTTACATCAGATTAAAAAGGGATATTTTTGTTCTAGAAACTGCTTATTCTAGATTTATTTTTTATTTTTTTCATCTCTTAAGCATCCTTTTCTAGATGTCATATATACGTACACGGATTAAGATGTCATGCACTACATTGCTAGACAAATAAATAAAAATGATCTAACACTACTCGCTACATATACATTCCCTTTAATGTGTACTCCCAAGCTGCTGTGAGTACATATTAAAAGGAATTTATAAGTATCGAGGAGTGCTGGTCTTTGACTGGTTATTGGATGGACCAGAGGCCAGGGGACACCCTCTTAACAGATAGACAAGCACTCACTGTAGCTTACATGTACTACTCTGTTGACTGTGGCATGGACCCCTCAGGCTTGCAGTGATGAATAAGTATATCGTTATTTGCCAGGTCTTAAAAGTTACACGCCACTGCAAGCCATTGTATACTCATAAGGGGTGGGAAAAAAAAAATATATATATATATATATATATATATATATATATATATATATATATATATATAACAAGAGAACATTTATTGCATCATTGCTTGTATAGAAAATATTTCTATAGTGACTGTTTGTTTTTTGTTTTTTCTTCTTCAGACACATTCCTTAGGATACCGGAGAGCGGTACAAGGGCGCAAGAAACGATTCGATGTGTTGTTAGCAGAGCACAAAAACAAATCCAGGGAAAAGGAATTGCTTCGTCATGCGGAACAGCAGCAGCAGTCGACACCTGCGCTCAGGGAATCTAATCCTGTACCTTCAAAATCTTCCCAGGAACTGCACCAAACATCTCATGCACTTACTGCTCCTGAAGTGAAGCCTTCAGTACCCAACAAGGCCAAGATTCATAACCCCAGTCTTCCAAGGTCAATCGCTTGCACCCATGTTGATATGAATTTAGTGCCTGGTTTGGGGAGGGGGAAAATGCATAAAAAAATCGGGTTGTTGAAGTAATGACATGCCTCTTTTTGTTTCCAAACTTTCAACACAAAGTAGTATTCTGCCAATTGAAACTGGCCTCATGAAAGCTACATTTAAAAAAAAAAAAAAAAAAAGTATTTAACACCCATACACGAACACATTTTCATTCATGCACATTACATTATTCCTAGGGATTTTGTGTTCAGCTGCCTTTAAAAATACTGTATGGGTATCCCCTTTAAATCTGCCTATAAAAGGGATCTACGTTGAAATTAAAAAAAAATTTAAAAAAAGTATTTTTACCTTCTTTTGGATCCATGGTATAAAAAATAACAAACAATAATTTATAGTGATTGGCAATTATGTTACAAAAGGGGTAGGATGGGTGGATCCTTTTTTACTTCAATCAGATTTCTCTATGGATCAACAACCTGCTCGCATAGATTATTTTTATTATTATTAATATTCAGGTTTCTTGTTGTTGGGGTATTTTTTTTAATTATTATTATAAAGAAGAAGCTAATATACAGGACTTTTTGAAAATACAATACTACAGAATCTGATAAAACTACCTCTTTGGATGTATAATTCCACATCTTTATTGTTCTTACTGTAAATATCCCTTTAATCTGCTGTGTGCAAAAACTAAATTTTCCAGTCTCAATGTGTGACTTGTCTGTTGTATGTTCCTGCTAATGAACAGGTTAACACATAGCAGTTTGTACTGTTGGTGTATTTATTTGTATAGTGCTATCATATCCCCTGTGAGATGCTTTTTTTTCTTCTAAAGAAAACAAATACAGTTTTTCTAGCCTGTCTTCACAACGGTTTTCCTTCCCTTTATTAATTTTGTAGCTTACCTCTGCACTTTTTTATATTCAAAGTGGGTGTTTTACCACTGATTAATTAAGAGGCAATATTATATTTTAATCACATCCATCAATTCCCCTTTTTATGCATATAAACATCTTTAACTGCCTAGTTTATCTACAATTGTCTCCAAATCGCTTTTTGTTTGTTATCCCTAATCAACCCTATTAATGTCTGTTACTTGTTGGTACCTTATTACAAACTGCCACTTGCCTGCCCAATCCCCCAATTATCCAAAACCTTCTGTAGAGAAGTTATATATATTGTTTTTTTTGTCATCTTCAACCAATGACACATGCATTTCAATGCCCACTTGAAAATCATTTATAAAATGTATTAAAGAGAAGTAGACACAGAACAGAATCCACTTCACTTACAACTTTTGTCCACTTTGGTAATGTTCCATTTACAGCTACTCTCCGCAATATGTTTTTAAGCCAATTTTCTTTTAAAGAACAAGATCTCACTTTTATTAGCAACCTGTTGTGTGGAACTGTATTAAATGCGTATTGAATGTCACTACCTATCGGTACTTCATTAGAAATTGGATGGTACATATTTTATGGTGTGTGTGTGTGTGTGTGTGTATGTATATATGTATGTATGAATGTATGTAGCTAATTAATTTATTTAAGCTTATTTAGTTATTTAAGATAATATTGTATTGTGTAAATAAATAACACCAAGTTTTGTTTTCCATTATTGCCCTTTTTAGGCCTTCAAGCTACCCGGCGCAGCACAGTGGGAATGCCCCAAGTGACTCGCCTTCTGTGCATGAATCTCCTCATCCAGTAGTATCCGCAGCTGAGCCAACCTCTCGGTTATCTAGTGATGAAGGGGAAGGGGATGACAAAGAAGAAACTGCCGAAAAACTGGATTGTCATTACTCAGATCATCACCCTCGACCAGCAGCGGTAAGAATCCCATACTATGATATATTAGTCATAAAGTGAAGAGGAGAACAGACAGACAATGCCAAGTGTGTTTTGTTATGTAAATTATTATAAGGAGAAGGGCCATCATATAGTTTGCTTTTCTTTGATCATGAATTACAGTTTATAAAAACCAATAAATAATCCATAACACTGAGAAACATATGTGAGCCAAGGTAATTATGATTGAACTTGCACCTAGTTAATGGTTTTATACTAAGCTACTCTTTGTGTTTTATTTTCTCTTTTTATTTTTTTAGTTTTGCGCCTTCGGCAGCCGGCAGATAGGAAGAGGATATTATGTGTTTGACAAACGGTGGGACCATATCCGATGTGCACTTAACTTTATGGTGGACAAGCATCTTAACTCCCAGATGTGGCGGTACGTCATAGATCAGCTTATGATATGTGATTGTATATATTTATGATTTATCAGAGTAAACATTTTATTTTTTAAACTCTCAAGTTCCAGAAAAGCGCACAGTGCTTTGAAAAACCTAAATGGCGTTCCCTAAATACAGAGGATATAAAATATTACAACAAGACACAATGCAAGGAAGCTCTAATTAGTCAGGTAGAAAATCATTTGAACAGATTTCCAGGTGCTTTTAAGGAAATCCTTCTTCTCTTTTTCAAAGTGTAATAATATAATGTATGACACTTCAGAAATAAGGGCCAGTACTTGGCAAGAGGTATAAACTCAAGGCATTTTGTTAGAAATGCCTCTTTTTAAGTATAAATTCAGGACATCAGTTTAGTGGAGCATGCAAGTCATGAGGGAAGTTATCCCCTCGTTTAGCAAAGTCAAATGAATTAAAAGCAAATTAAAAATTCTGTGCCAAAATTAGAAATGTTTACAGTTTGACTATTCTAGCCAAGTTGGCTTTCAGTTCGAAACAACTTCTTTAACCACTTAATACCACCTAAAAATATTATTTTTGAACTAAAACAATGCCACATATGGGAAAAGGTTAGTCTTTTTATTTATTTTTTTACTTTTAAAAAGCAATATTGTGCCTATGTTTGTAGCATATTTTAATTTAGTTGGCAGTCTTTGGAAAACACGTTTAATAATTGGTAGAATTTGACAGTGGTGTTTTTCCCCTTTCCTAATAGTGCAGATCCCGTGGATTAATGAAGTCACAGGCCACACTTTAATTTAGTTGATAATAGATCATTTCACCAATTTTAAGTAAGAATATCCCCACACTTTAAATGAATTGATTACAAAATATTTCACCAAAATAGTTTTCAGCAAAGAATATCATTATTTTGCTTTAGTACACCCTATTTAAGCTAAATGCAGAAATTAGGAAATCTTATCTAGATTGTTAATTGTATTTGGGTTGTTTTTTGTTTTTGACAGGTTTTGTTATTATTGTAGCGATTATTTTTGGTCATTGTTACCTTACTGGCTGATTGTATATTTTTTGCCAAGCCGCACAGAAGCATTTTAATTTTACTGCATAGGGCTAGATTTTGGGCTCTGCCCACTTCATAATTAGATCTTTAAACTGTTGGCAACATGGTAAATCCCTAGACATCAAATATCCCTACAGGCTCACCTATTATTACATTCTCTTCTACTTTCTGATCATTTAACCATTACTAAAGCTACTGGCTAGCAAGGTGATTAGTTAATCACTTTCTACTCAGCTGGAATTGACAGTTTCTTATCCATCCATGTGACTAGAATTTTAGCAAATTACAATAAAGAGAATTATGTAATGGTTTCTTTTAATATATTATAATGGAGCTGCAACCATATCTTCCTTCTTGGTGTTTTTTTTTTTTTTTTTTTACTGTTCAGCCAATGGGGTGTACTGAAAAATAAAATGAGAATGGGCGAGATGACCTCCAGACTGACGTTTAATCCCTTGCCTAATGAATTATAAAAATACTCAATTTAGAAAACAGAACAAAATGCATGAAAAAAATATTCCCTCACTTCCTTCAAATATCTAAATAGACTGCAGGGAATTTTATCAAAATTACTACCTTCTAACATTTCGGTTTAAAGTTGTTGTTTTTTACTCATATTTTCTAACCATGTTCCATGGGATAATTTAATTCTATAAATCTGTCATCATTATTCAGCTTTCCTTCAACAGATGCTCTGAATTACAACTGTTCTCTTCTAATTAACCCTTTTAAAATGAATTGCCCAAAGGCCGATTGTAACACTGGATGAGAAGGTATATGATGTTAAAAGTTCACTCCACTGTCTACACTACTCCTTCATTTGGAAATCCTCCCTCCTCCATTCAAAGAAGAGATTGTAAAAATATATAGTATTGAGATGTACCGATTATGAAATATTAGGGGTTTTCAAAATATGTTCTAAGGGTCACAGTGATCTGGAGAAGAAAGGTAATTTGAGGACCTCAGACAAAATAGACGGTTTTGGTTTGACATTTTACTCCACCAAAACAATTTGCAATGTTTCTTTCCACACTGGTGCTATGGTGATTATACTGTTCCCATGACTATTTTCCAGACATTTGGAGTGATGCTTTAAAGTTAACCTTTTATTAACAGGTAAATATGTGTCCACAGCATGTTGCTAGCAAAGTCATCTACACAATAGTCTACTTACCTGGTAACTTCTACAAGACATGTGCATTTGTTTTTCTGACAAATGTTACAATGATCGAAAATTTTAGTTTTTAATAATTTTTTCTGAAAATCAGTGTAACGGATCACCTGGCACCCTGACTGGGTACCTCCGTTAATGGATGCTCCTAGCCCTTCCTGTGGACTCCAAGCACTCCAGCCGACACCATAACCACTGTAGACTCCTTCAGAGAGCAAGCAGGAACAAGCTCTTACAAGAGCTTAGTAGTGATATAGCAAGGGAGTATGACTAGCCTAGCAATCTCTTGTAGCAGATTTCCCCCAATAAGAGACGACACTCCAAATTGAGGGTGAAGTAGAACTGAAGCTTTTAATCCAACTCTCTGCTTTTATGCCCATTTTACAAACATAGTACTGCCCACAGGGTTTTGAAGAACAACCAATCAATACATTACAACACAACTAAACACTCCCATTCATACCAGCAGAAATCCTCCCCTCTGCCTGTGATACAATTATCTCAACACAATAGACTAACTTAATTATCACAAGCAGGAAAATACAGTTTTGCACAATATTCATAACTCCAAAAGTATAAATCACATTCACTTACATTTTTCAGAATCAGCATACTCCAAATACAAACATACTCAAAAATCAGACAATTCCTTCCATTGGTTTAAAAGTTAGGTTGAAGTCCTTTGTGACCACTGAAGCATGGCTTTCCAGTCAAAACCAGTTCCACAGAGTCCTCTATCCTGGAGATAATTGGCTTAACTGGGTGTGGTAAGTCAACTATCTCCAGATACAGAAAATGTCTCTATTCACAACAACAGCAAAAATACATCATTCCTATCATACTGAACAGAACCCCCACATTCAACCTATCCCCAGATGGCTTGAATCTGAGTGCTCAATATATCCAAACAGTGCTCAGATCCCACAAACACAGTCAAATCGCCATGGGGTTTAAGTCTAGCATGGGCTGATGAGAGGGTCCATAGTCACAGGGCAGGAGGCTGGCAATCAGTCTTCTCCAATGCCCAGTTGCTGGTTCCGCCACAATCAATATTTAAAGAATGCATGAACGGTTCAGTTTCAAATTTTTGTATGGTTACATTTGTTATCGTGTGCAAAACTGCAGCCAATGAACTAGCATCATTGGTTGTGTTTTGAGAGAGCTAGTAGCTGGTGATAGAGTGACAGAGAGAGAGACTTAACACCGATTGGAGAGAATTAATCTCATCAGAAGTGTTTAAATTTCTTAGCAGTATTGATCCACTGTAGAGATCTTTTCCATTCTCCGGCATTACGACTGAAAATTGGTAACTATATGAAAACTTTTATCGAATTTTGGCTGTCACGTCAACGAATGTCGGCCAAACTGAAAACCAATAAAAAAAAATGTAATGTATTCACGTGCACATGTTTGATTTCTAGTACAGAGGATTTCTCTTAATGCTGCAGAAGAAAGCGGCACTTAATTCCACTGCGACGCTGAAATATTAGTATAGCGATAGCTCCCTGACTATGCACACTAACTCTGGCCATGGCATTAGTGTTTGGTAGTCGTGCTGTAACCCAGTGAACCTGTGCATGTCCTCAGATATTGCTCCATTTAGAGTATAAAACCACAAACTGTGTATGGTATTTAATTATAATAAAAGTGAGGAACAAAAAAATATATGTATGTATTGCTGTATTTGTTTTTGTATTAATACTGATAAGAATTTTATTTATTTTCAATAGGAAAATTCCTCCAGCATCTAGCAACTCGTCCGCGCATACTCCACACCGGGCCAGCACAAACTCAATGCCTGCGTCACATGGCGCAAACAGCACGGGTTTCCTCTCACCCAGCACAATATCCGCCTCTCCTGCATTTGTGACCTCTCCCTGTTCATCGCTTGACAAAGTCCTCTCTCATGGAACTACACTAAACTCTCACCCTGCAGCTTTGGGTGCAACGGACCCTGTCAGTAGTATGCAATCCAGACAAGTGTCTTCTTCCCCTTCCACACCGTCAGTGCTTTCCTCGTCCCCTTCCCCCGTCTCCAGCAAACCTCAAAAGTTGAAATCCAGCAAGTCTCTGAAACCTAAGGAATCTCCAGCCAGCAGCGTCAACTGCAGCAATGCCAGTAGCAACAGCGGAGGCAGCTCAGGAAAGAAACGGAAAAACAGCTCCCCACCTCAGCAGCTAGCACATCCCCCTTCGCATTCCACGGAGTCTTTTAGGAAAAACTGTGTGGCAAACTCTGGGAGCTACCATTCTCCGGTGACGACTTTGTCCCATTGCAGCTCACACAGTATCGGCCTCAATTTTGTGAACAATAAAACTAATTCTGTGAGTCTTAAAAGCGACCAATCAGGGAGGGGTCCTCCGATAGGAAACCCTGCGGAATCCATAAAAAGAATGAGCATAGTGATGAACAGCAGTGACTCCACGTTGTCGCTTGGTCCGTTCGTTCACCAGACTAGCGAACAGACTGCGAACTCGCACAATAGCTTTTCCCTGGACAAATTCACGGGGAAGAAGCGGAAGTGTTCGGCCAGTTCAAGCAGCATTACCAATAATAGCAAACCCACTAAGGTTGCCAAACTGCCACCAGTGAACAATGTTCACACGAAACACAACAGCGTAATTCCAGGAACACAGGCACTGACGAATAACACACTTCGTCATCAGGTAGGCTTGTTCATCTGCTGTGTTACATCTTTAAACAAAGGGGGGGTGGGGGAGAGATCTTGACATATATCTGCCAATTTCTGTTGCTTCAATGTACATTAAAAACAGAACCTGAGGTATTTCTTCCACATGTAAAATCCATATAGCAGAATAACCACATTCTTTTTATTTAATTAAAATCGAATATATAATATATATATTTTACATTGACGTTGTGGCAGGCTTTTGCAATGTGTGATCATAGACCCCGCAATTATTTTTCGCCTAGGCGAGGTATTTTTAAATAAAACTATTACATTACATTCTGTGAATAAACGAATGCGCTGGATCTTATATGTTGTATGAATAGGCCCCAGCAGCACCCTTATAATGTATGCATGTTCATGTGAGTGCAGCCCTCTTGTTTAGCAATGTATTTTTTTTTTAATATACAAAAATGTATAATATATGGATGTGTGTATGCATGTGCATGTGTGTAGAAAACGTTTCTGCCTTCTGATCTAAGCTTATTGTCCTTACATTTTAGTTGTGTCTTTGTGAACCCCTTCCTGTAGGGCACAGTGGTGAAGCAGGTTGTGTATGTGCATTCTTCTTACGGTATATAGCTTCATTCTTCTTATATAGCTTCAAAGAAGTGCTTTAAATCCAATTTCAATCAATTTAGTTCAAGCTAAAAGTGCACAGTGCACATTGCAAGACTTAACATCGCTCTTGTGCATAGTGCACAGTGCAAGACTTCACACTGCTCTTGTGCACAGTGCACATTGCAAGACTTCACACTGCTCTTGTGCACACTGCAAGACTTCACACTGCTCTTGTGGAAAGGGACTGTAAAAGAACATAAAAATGCACAAGGTTATTTTTATATAATCAGATTAAAATTAAAAAATTTATTATTATCTAATGAAAAACATAGAACATTTCTTTTTTTTTTTTTCTTTAAACCAATGCAAAATGTGCTGTATGTTTGTCCATGTAAAACTATGAGGAAAGAGATTTAAATGTTTGATAGACTCCTCTTATTGTACAGCCTTTTTAATTTCGAACTCATTTACAGTTTGTAGCATGTGAGGATATCAGGGAAGGGCTGTAGCAATCATTTTGAACACTTTTTCTCTTGGCTATATTAGTACTGCACAAGCATACTTAGGAGTCAGCAGGACACTATAGTCACCCAGACCACTTCAGCTCAATGAAGTGGTCTGGGTGCCAGGTCCCCCAGGTTTTAACTCTTCAGATGTAAACATAGCAGTTTTACATTGCAGGGTTAATCCAGCCTCTAGTGGCTATCTTCCTGACAGCCGCTAGAGGCGCTTCTGCGACGCTGGATGCGTAAATCACATTGAGCACACAGAACGTCCATAGGAAAGCATTGAGAAATGCTTTCCTATGGACTGTTTGAATGCGTGCACAGCTCTTGCCACGCATGCACATTCCGCTCCACTCGGGAGCTGACGTCGGCGAGGAGGAGATGTCACCAGTGCCGAGGGAGCCCGGCGCTGGATTAAAGTAACTGAAGGGGTTTAAACCCCTTCAGCCCAGCGGGAGGGGGGCCCTGAGGGTGGGGGGGACCTAAGGGTTATATAGTGACAGGTAAACGAGTTTGTTTTCCTGGCAATATAGTGGTCCTTTAAAGCGAATATTATGCCATTGAATTAAATGTTGAAAATCACATATAACTTTTTTTATTTTATTTATTAAAATAAAAATTCAGTCCAGGCAGCTATAGCACACATTGCAAATGGTTAGAAATAGAAACGTTGTTTTATTTATCACCTTCTGTCTTTCTCAGTGCATAACCATGCATGACTGGTAACAGAAGGTGCACCCAGTTACAGGATAAAGAGGCATTGATTGCTGTATTTATATTAGGTACCACACCTCCTAAATTAGGGGTACCCAAAAGGATGTTTTAAAACTACAGCTTCCATGATGCTTTGTCCTTTGAAAGGCATGCAAAGCATCATGGTAGTTGTTGTTCTACAACATCTGGGGATGTACGTTTTGGGCACCGCTGTCCTAAATGTATATTCATGGGTTAAGAATTCCTATCACCCAACAAATGGGACATGTAAATCCAAGTGCCTGGCAGGCAGTTTTTTTCCCCTGCCTTAAGCAGCAGCATTGCTACAGAGTAGCCTAGGAGTTCATGTTTGCGCAGAGACCGTATGGTCTGCACCTCAGGTGGTTTCCCTCCAGTCCCAGCCTGTGACTCACTTAGTGCAGGGACTGCGAGGGAATGATTTCTGTGGCGAGCACACCTCAAGCGGCTTCCACTCAACCACCAGGGAGTTTAATCTTTTGCTAGACCACTGTAAATTGTAGCCCCATCTTTATAGAAAGCTAATCTTAAGGGTTAAAAAAAAAACATAGAGTACACAAAAACATTACACCCAGCCCACTCCACTTACATTACTAACTGAATGCACAGGTATCACGCACACACTCCACATGCACACTATACACTGCCACCACGTGCATACATATTACACAGCCACCACACACACTCTCTGGTTAAGAGGTTGACAAATTAAATCTCCATGATAAACTGAGGCAAAGAGTTATTAATATAACCAAATTTAGACATTTTCCCAGTTCAGAATTTTCTCCAGTCAGTTTTTTTGTATTTGGATATAATTTGTGAAAATTCTGAGTCTAGTGAATAACTCTCTCAAGGTCTAGGACTCTAGACAGAGTTTCCAATCTGAAACCTTGGACAAGCAGATTTTGTGTTTTTTGTTGTTTTATTTACACACCGTTATTTATTAAATATATGGGTTAAAGGACCACTATAGTGCCAGGAAAACATACTCGTTTTCCTGGCACTATAGTTCCCTGAGGGTGCCCCCACCCTCAGGGTCCCACTCCCGTGTCACTGAGGGGGGAGGAAGGGGTTAATTCCTTACCTTTTTTCCAGTGCCGGGCTCCCTCGGCGCTGGGACTCTCCTCCCTCTTCTTCTGTCATCGGCTGAATGCGCATGTGCAGCAAGAGCCACGCGCGCATTCAGCCAGTCTCATAGGAAAGCATTCTCAATGCTTTTCTATGGACGCTGGCGTCTTACCACAGTGAGAAGCGCCTCTAGCGGCTGTCAATGAGACAGCCACTAGAGGCTGGATTAACCCTATTGTAAACATAGCAGTTTCTCTGAAACTGCTATGTTTACAGCAAAAAGGGTTAAACCTAGCTGGACCAGGCACCCAGACCACTTCATTAAGCTGAAGTGGTCTGGGTGCCTATAGTGGTCCTTTAAGTAAATGTAATGTTAGAAATCCTGGTAAAAATCTGACCCCTTTTACAATTCAGGAGGTTATTTACTGTAGAGTTTTTTTTGTTTTGAGGGTTGTTTTTTTTTTTTTTTTTGGTTTATTTTTATTTATTTTTTTAACCCTTTTTGTTTCTGGTTTTTTTAAAAAAAAAAAAAGTCTGGTACCAATGAAAACAATGTAGTCTATAAGTAAAGCAATCTACTTAATCTAATGGTCCTGGTTTACTAATGTGAAAACCTTGTTCTTACCATTGATCTAAAAGTTAAAGGGACAATATAGTCACCAGAACAACTACAGCTTATTGTATTTGTTCTGGTGAGTAGAATCTTTTTCTTCAGGCTTTTTGCAGTAAACACTGTCTTTTCAGAGAAAATGGAGGGTTTACATTATAGCCTAGGGATACCTCCACTACTACCAGAGGTGCTTCCTGGGGAAGTGCTACACAGTGTGCAGCACTGACATTAAGTATCTCCACCATGTGCATGGAGACACGAACTTTCCTCATAGAGATGCATTAATTCAAGAAGAGATGCTGATTGGCCAGGGCTTTGCTTGGCTTGTGCTAGCTCTCCCCCTGATCTGCCTCCTTGACAAGTTCAGCTAGTCCAATGGGAAAGCATTGTGATTGGTCAAGCAGGCAAATCAGGGGCAGGGGCAGCAGCTGCAGACTTGAATACAAGCAAGATTTTACTATATCTAGATGGGCGTGGGGGGGCAGGGGTCTAGATGGTGGTTTTAACACTATAGGGTCAGGAATACATGTTGTTCTATAGTGTTTCTTTAAGTCTCAAATTTGAAAGTTCTACGCTACTAGCAAAGACTAAATGTTACTTGATACTGGAAGCCTGGTGGGTCAGTGGCACACTCACCATGAGATAAATGATTACTCTTCAGTAACAAAGAGAGGGGGAGATACGGTGCTCACTCAAATGGCAGCAGATTCTGTTTATTGGATACCCTAACAGTCCAAGGGAAAACAATAGGTAGAAAACAAAAACTGATTTGCGCCACATTTAAATAATTATGGATGTGAATTGAACTAAGTATGGATGTGTGTAAATATATATATATATAATACACACATATAAGCCTTTGAGGAGGTGATGCTTTAGTGTAGTTCAGTCAAAGGTCCTCCTTGGCGTTTAAAAATATTTGGTTTAGACTGAGGTAGGGAGTTCTGTTATTGGCATCTCATGTAAAATATAAGCAGAAAAGAAAAACTAATTGTGCAGCCCAGTATGTTCAACATCTCAATAATGTGAAGAAAAAGAATACACTCGCAAGGATAGAGCCACCATTCTGCTCTTCGATAAGGCTCTGAGTGATATAATCCCCACTCAGGGATGAAACTGGAATTTTTCTCTTTGAGTGTTCACAGTGGATGCGGCATATGAAAGAATAAAAACAGGACAAAGTGCTCACTGTTTCCAACCAATAAAAGTGTGTGGAAAAGTATGAAAATTATTCACAATTTCTTTTAAGAGCACTTTATGAGCAATGGTATCAGCTTGGAATCATCCCCACCAAGGATATATATGAATAGAGGTAGATGTTGTGATGATCCCTGGCAAGGCTCCATTAAGATGATAAAATAAATGCAGGATAAAAAAACATTTTGAGGGTAAAAACAATATTTATTGTAATATGCCACACAATATGAAATAAAAGCCAATTCTCAAGTTTTTTGATCACTTGAGAAAGCCCAAGGGCGAAACCGGTTGTGACTATTCAGAAAGACTTTTTAATTGGCTTTTATTTCATTTTGTGTGTTATATTACAATAAATGGCTTGACTGGTGTGCAGATTTTTGTTTAACATTGTATTAACTATCCACAGACTTCAGGTGGAAGGGGTTTTCAATCACAATTTTTTTCCCCACAATAACCTTTTTGGTTTGACACACAGTTGAAATAAATATGGATGTGTGTGTGTGTGTGTGTGTATGTATATGTATATATATATATATATATATATATATATATATATATATATATATATATATATATATATATATATATAATCTCAATTTATACTTGACGCAAATCAGCCTTTTTGTGTGTTCTACCTATTTCTCTTCAGGGCTGAATTTTACTCACCAGTGGGTGAGTGGAAATTTTGAGCCCTCTGTACATTACCGTGGCCCAAATGCTGGCAGATATTTTGACTGCATATTTAAAGGAGTAAAACAGAATAACTTTAATTGACATAGACCCTTTATAGGACTTTTTAAGCTATTTAGACAATCGGGGTTGTGTTAGCAGGATAGCAGAGGCCCTCACAGTTTGCACTGCAGACGCACAGGAGGTTCTAAATAAAGTTGTCTGAAAAAAAAGTCACTGTGTGCCTACTGGAAGTAATAGGAAGTAATTTAAGTATTATTTTCAAATGAGTTATCCTTTAATTCTAAACATAATCCTCCTGTGATATTTTGGGGAGCTAATCATTTCTTGGTAGTGTTTTGAATGTGATGTCATGTGACATCAGAGCCAGGCTGCTAAAAGAGAAGATGGTAGCTCCCTGTAGTTAATATATTTACTCTTTTGCATTACATAACACTGTGTGTAACTTATATTGTTTCAGGCAGATTATTTTATTATTATATGTAATTTTTATTCTGTATGCTATTTAAGTTATTGGGTTAGTTGTAATGTTTCTTTTTTTTTTTTTTTTTTGCCTGACAATAGTCAAGATTCCAATTTTGAAAAATTGTATACACGTTTCTTTAAGTCGATGTACAGTCAAAGTAAGCGGTAATTCTGGAATTCCATTATTCATCTTGGTTTGTCTTGGACAGTCCATCTTCTCCCTCCATATTAGAGGTCTATGGCAAACCGTGTAAGGTGACAGCTTTATGGCAATCCCACTTTCAATAAAAAGCTATATTGGGAGGGAAGAAAGATTGACGTCCATCTATAAGTGGGTCACTAATTAAAGTTTTTTTTAGGCATTATGACCACCTTATTGAATGGGTTATAGTGCCTCGAGTCCCCTGGCACTTTTCCTCCATTCAATTTTGAACCATTTTTTAACACTTAAAAACTGAACGAGGATCCCTGTCTGTCCGCAAGCCTGGCTACTACTGATTACCCACTTCCTTAGTCATACCAATTCATAACAGCAGTGGGCAACTGTGATAGGCTGAAAGATATCAGCTAACACTCCCAGGAAATCACCTCTAATGTTTCCTCACTAGTACAGTCAGCAGAGGGGATGAGTGGCTGAAAACTCTTGTTTAGTGTTTTTGGTAATGTGACCTCTGGGAATAGACCGGGTAGCAGTACAAATAGCTGCTCCGCCCAAAAGTGTCAATTTCTGCATCTCATAACTTCTAGCATGTGGGGCTGCAGGATGCTTAGTACAGCTGCCTGCAATCCATAGCTGTGCCTATGTAGAAGTCGGAAAAACAATCCACAACGTTTTTGCTACATAAATGCACGTAATTTTGCTTGCTCAATATGTAACTACATTTATTATGTTGTAAGATTTTAAAATTGAAAAACTTTTACAACAAGCTGCTATTTTCACACACAATCCTCGAGGGCAAACGCGTTCTATGGCACTCCTGCAATGTTTGAATTTTCAGTCTCCAGTCAGGTCATCGCTGGTCCAATCACATGCTCTTGGCTAGAGGGAGACAGGAGGGGAGGACAAAGAGTGCAAAAACAAAATGTGAAGGTTGAAAACAGAGGGAGGCGGGGAAAGCAGGGAGAGGACACTGAAGTTCATTACATATGTAGCCAGTATGCAGTGAACATTGACGACACACATATTATTTTGCACAGGATTAATATTAGGCAGTCCAAGATTCCTAAGTCACGTGTGCGGAGGGTGTAACTAGCCCGCAGCACAAAAGTGCAAATGTCTGGATTTGACCACTCCTACCACAGTGGCCACTAAACGCAGAAGTGGTCATTGTGGTTGGAGTAACCCCTTAAATACTTGTAAGCTACGTGCACAGATAAAATATTAACCCCCTCCCCGGACAAACTGGTATTGCGTTATTTGTATGAGAGTGATGCTTTCATTGTTTATCTTGTGATCCCTATCCTATTTCTATGCTTGTGAAAGGTATGTCCTGTCAGTGTGAGGGGTTTTGCTAGAGAGGGATATTGCCTGATACATTATGGCCAGGGCCTGGACTCCAGAGACCTCCGATTACAATGCAGTAAATGAACACACGCACAAAATCTCATTCCCTAAAGGAGATGTCATGCCTTTATTCTTCATGGCTCTGTTTCCTCTACTTCAGCAGGAATGCCTGATGCTGATGATGATCATTGTCCTGACAGGGGACAGAGGGGGGTTGGGGAAATGCACAGCAGCTGTTGCTGTGGCAACAACTCTTTTCCCACTGTGCCGATCAGGACCGTCATTAACCCCTTAGCTACCAGAGCAGCCGGTGTTTGGGCCCAGTTCGTTGCTTTACCACTCTCAAGGTTAATTTAAAATCTACAAATAGCCTAGTAGTATTGCACGCAGTATATATGTTAGATTCACCCAAGGAGTACAATGCTTTTGTAATTTTGTAAACAGACCTATATCTACAGAATGTTTGCTCATTTATAAGCTATGTTAAACCCCTTTTATTACATAAACGGATGTTAGCCTTGTCCAGTGCAATGTTTTGGTGTTTTTTTGTTTTGCTTTTTTTTTTTTTCTTTTTTTTTTTTTTTACCAAAAAGGAATTGTGACAAGGAACATTTTCTTAACACTGTAAGTGCCAAGTTTCTGCTCAACGCCGCATATACTATTTTAACATTTTCATTACCATTTTAGGTAATTTCCTTTTTATTTTGACAATCGTGGATTTGTTAAGTCTTGAAGACGGTAAAATTATTACCACAACATATAGATAGTTCTATAAATATCCTCTTTTATTAAAGGGAGCCTGCCACAAACTTGCCATACTCTCTGCTCTTGCACTGCATTGACCCACCTTCAGTCCACCCTCGTTTCTTATACAGTTGTTTTTGATTTGCTATGCAAGCAGGGCAAACCTCCTCCATGACACGACATGCTGATCTCATTTTGTAAGTTACTCTGGTTTTATACTGCCCAGCCATTGTTAGCGCATGCGCTGTGGCTGCTTTGCATGGAAAGCAGAAGGACTGCCTGTGGGTGGTCTCTCCTGCTCGCCTTTATCAAAGCGCCTTGATAGAATTTATGCCGAAGAATTGATTTGACAGTTGGGAGTAATACCTGTTTTTAAAAAGGAAATTCTCCCAATCTATACATTTGCTAGTACAATGTATAGAACACAAAAAATGGTTCAGCGCTAATCAACAGAAAAGGGCAACAACCCTAAAAGGGGAATCCATCAAAACCCTTTAGAGAATATACAGACATAAAAAGATTTTAAAAAGGGATGCGCCAATAGACAATATAAAAAATAAATAGGTTTTTGGAACAATGTGATAGTCCTCACAAATAAGTCTCTTGATAGTTGACATTTTAGTTTTTAGAACAGCAAAGACTTTTCTCTGGGTAGGGCAGCTGTCTTTATTTTCTTGTTGATGTATATAGAAAGACAAAAGCAGAGAGAACGGAAATAGCGTAATACGTCAAATCTAGTTATGTAATAAATGTCACCGTATCACACTCACATTTTATAGAGCCTTAGTCAGCTCTAGCTTGTGTAGCGTGCCGTAGTATAATCCCCACTTTACAGGGTATATTGGAGGTTTCCATTTGGTTCACGATGACCGGCACCCAAGGAGAAATAAATAAGGCGACAGGTGGTGCTCTCAATAAAACAAGTGATGCATATGATAAAAATAGTTAATATACACTCACAAATATAGAGCAGACTAACTGCTCTATGATGACAGTGTTGGTGGTTTGATTCCCACCTAGGATTGCTTTGGAGTAGAGATAAAATATGCCAGGAAGTATGAAAACCATATTAAAACTAAATATAAATGGTAATTGGCACAGCACACAAGTGTAGTGACCAAATTCCTTTAATAGTTCAAATATAATGTATAGGTGGAATTTGATGCTCCTAAAAAGTGTGCAGGCAGTGTTTGGGCATGACAGGCTCTATTTAAAACTATATTTATTTAGATATTCCACTCCAGTACTCAAAATTTACGCTAGCCATTGGCATTTGCAAGTAGAAGGTTCCCACTGGTGAGTGTACTTTCAGACTTGCAGTGGCAAGTACCTTTTAAAACAGCTAGCTAGTGGCATAGGACTCAAAATGTTAAGCTCTTTTCTATTACCTACAGCCATTTATATCTGGAATCTTCTGATTCTGTCCCTATTTAACAGAGGTTGTACAGAGTGTAGCTAACATTAAAATGTTCATTTACTAAGCACAGGTTTGCTGGAAAATTGACCGTTCACAAACAAGTCCAAGTTAAAATTTAAAACCGTTTTTGTATTTGTTGAGGCAGTTATTATCCTAGGTATTTATATAGCGCCAGCTTATTCCGCAGCACTTTAACCCCTTAAGGACCAAACTTCTGGAATAAAAGGGGATCATGACATGTCACACATGTCATGTGTCCTTAAGGGGTTAAAACATTTTTACAAATAGGCTGAATGTTTTTAGAACCCTGAAAGCAGGTTGTTAGAATGTCTTCTATCCCCTCAATCCATAGTATTAGAGATGGTATGAAACGGAGTGATTGACCTTGCTTCTTCCTTCTTATTATGGCATTATTTAGTAAATGTATGAGCCCCCAAAACCCTTAAATACGGAGTATAGGGCTTTAGGTGGCTTAAATGGAAGAAGGAAAGTGGGCCTGTGGCTGTGCCAATGGAATATTAATGGCTTAATGTGATTGAATGGAATAGTGCAGTCAGCCACATAAATTCAGAGGAATACCCCTATTTACATAGGGTTTTCTTTTGTATTTTACTCTGGCAGTCTGGTTTGAAGATAACTTTTTCTTTGTAGTAAAGGTATTAAATTCTTAAGTTTATTTGTAGTTCGGTGCAAATTATTAGGAGGCTTAACTTCGGGGGACCCCGCTAATTAAGTTTCAAGCCCTTATGCTCACTGCCTGTTTGGTGTGTTGTATTGGAGAACTATTGACCACCTCCTGTAGGTCATGGATGGTCTGTTGTACCCATACAATTATTGCCTTCGCTAAATTTTCTTCTAAAATTCTATTCTAGAGAATAACTTTGCTTATTTGTATATCAGTTCAACAGATAAAATTTTTCTTTTAAAAAAATACAAAATGATTCATTTACATATAAAGGTGTTATATTTAATATAAACTGGTGAACCTGTTAATGTGTGATTTAATATATATATATTTTTTCTTCCTAATACTTTAAAGAAATTAACCAATCAGCAATATAATGTTGCTAATTTGTTATCTCCCTGCGGGTGGATGCTTCAAGACTTGGGGATATTCTCACCCATTTTCATCCAGATTGGTAAAGGTTGGCTGCTTTCATTACAGGTTGGGAAAACAAATCCCATAGGCAAACATTTCTGTGGATTGCAGCAGGTTAAAACTGTTATTTTTGAGTGACAATTTATTCGAAGAGATGGTAGATTTTCAGCCATCTCTGCATAGAGCATAGAACTGTCAGCACAGCAAATTTAAATTAATTTTTCTTATGTGTTTTTTCTTCTTTTGTTTTAAAGCCAAAAGCGCGTCCCTGACATCTGGTACTACACTGGTGAGAAAAACAATCTGGACAGCTTTTCACTACAATCAAAAAAGGAAAAAATACAAACCTCCAGCTGGCGCCCTCTGGACTCCAAGATGCCTTTGAGTTATCTCAACTTTCCCATGGTCCTCAGGTGTGGAAAGTATCTAGACTCGTCAGCTGAAAAAGGAATTCCCTGAAGCCATGTCTATAGCAGTGAATGCCTTCACAGCGGGCCCTAGAATGTCCTATCACCGCTTGTATCAGTGTTAGTGAACTCATTCGCTTGCTACAAAATCCGTGAAATTGATTTTGCGTTGATTGCAAGTTTTTGTTCACATTTGGCCTGGGCAAAATTCTCTTTTTGTAGAGTAAAACAAAAAATATATATATTGTTCACTGTAATCCCCAGAAAGGTATATAGTGTTTTCTGCTGGCTTCTGTGTCCATCAGGTTAGACGCAATGTCCTAGAGGAATATATATTGGGGTTTTTTTTGGGGGGTTTTTTTTTTTTTGGTTTTTTTCTAGGGTTTGTTTTTGTTTTTTTTATTTTGGTTATTTTTTTACACCACGATTTTCCTGTGATTAACTACTAAAATAGCACAATTTAAATTTAAAGAGTGGACTCTTGAATATATTGGCCGGATTTTTTTGCGGGTTGCAAATGCTAAGGAACTGTGAGGAGTTTTAATGGGCAAGAAGTGTTATTGTTACTCACTTAAAACCATCACATAAGATATTACTGATAAAACAATCTGTAACTACATCAACACCTGTTCTAAAGTGTATTATGATGCAGTCATGAATCCAGACTAAATGCAAATTAAAACATTTCTTGTTTACCTTCCTACATGATAGAATAAGACCGCACATTTTGCAAGTCTACATGATAGAATAAAACTATGAATTTATCCTGTGATGGGATAAGATGATGAATTTTAAATACCCATTGTTGGCTTCTGTGTTTTGTAAGCCACTATCTTTATGGCACTGTTGATGTGTACCAGGCAAATTCGTATAATTCAAATTAAATAATATACAAGTTGTAAGAGAGAAGACAATGTAAAATATGAGTGTTAGGAATGCACACCAAAAATAAACATGCAAAAATTGGTAATATCCAAACATGGGTGCAAAACCCCCACTACGTTCATAACAAGGCAGAATACTGTTGCCAAACGGAGCATAATATAATGTGATGTATATTGTGCACAGTTTGACAAACGGCACTAACAAAAGCTAGCAAGCAAATGGGTATCATTTGGCAATTATTATAGCAATATCTTATTTATGCTGCAACAGAGCAAATATGATTCTATTATAATACTTGATTTGGTACTCTAAGCAACATGAACACTACAGATTATTGTGTTTATTTTAACACCATCTCCTTAGTTAGTGTCAGACTGCTTCGGAGTCCAGCTCTTATTCTGCTGCTCAGCAAGTGTGGAAGGGGTCTTCAAAATAAGCATGTCCAGCAATCTCCATCAATAATTCAATGAGAGGAGCACTGTTGGGCAGTTTAGCACAGTTCTCATAACCTGTTATGGTTATTTAAAGTTGGGTCGGCAAATGCTGTAATTTTCTACCCCTATAACTAAGTAGCTGCAGAGGGTCTGGACTTTGGACCCCTGCCAACAAATGGATGTGGGATGGGTTGGGCCCTTTCTTGACACGTTATTGTTAGAATTCTAGAAAACACTCAAATCTTCAACTCATGCAAACTACAATAATCCTTTGCTGGCCAATTCTGTGTTTTGACTGAAAGGTTCGTAGGAATTGTAGATTGCATTCAGGTAGAGTTCCTGTGTTTACTCCAGCAGTAGACCAAAATACCCTCTATGAAAAAATTGTATCTTCACATCTAGAGCTATATTAACAAAATAGTTGGTGTGGTTGAGGTGACAATTGAAGCTAGGCAGCAGTTCCTTAGTCTGAGCTTTCTTTTCTAACTCATTGCTCATCACTAATGTGGTCAAGATTTAGTTTTTACTATTTTGTAATTATTATTATTGGTTGTGAGGGAATAAATCTCTTTAGCAAATAGATCGCCATGGTGATTTCAGCTTCTGGTGATTTTTGCGCATTACAAATATTAAGCAAACATATTCTGCAGTGTCAGCTATATATATTAAGACCCAGTAATTGTAAACTTAGCCTATATGACTTTTAGAGTAATTGATAATATAATTCGCATGGACTGGTACACAAATCAGCTTCGGTAACTATTCTATCAGGAGCAAAAGGTCTTATTCTAATACGTAGGATTTGAAAATTTGGCAAAATACCGTGTTCCATACAGATCTATAATCCAAAATATCTCCATCAAATACCCAATGTAATGTAGATATCTTTATTGCAAAGTCTGGGATGAAGTCACTGTCACTGTAATTGGTCTGAGAGTAATCTTGATATATATTTGCAAAACAAATATCAAATCAATCAAATCAAAGCAATGTACAGTGCATATATACAAAATGAAAACCTGCTCATTGACAAAGAGTGTCGAGGATGTGACGCACCAGGGACAGTAATAACAAAACTTCATTCTAAAGTTAGAGTATATATTTTAAGAGGATCTGTCACTTCCCTGTATTTTTAATATTATTTTTCACGCATCCCTATATTTAAAATGGAGACACCCAGTTGTATATTGCAACTGGGTGTCTCCATTGTAGCTCCCTGTTAAAAGCTCTTCTCTTAGCACTTGACAGTGAAAGCTTAGAAAGAGGGGAATTGGAGAAACAATGTTTCTATTTCTTCTCCTCTGTATTGTTCGCTCTGGCTTTGCCTTGTCTGAACTGGATTATGATGTCATTTTTCCTAAATATTTAATATAGATTTAACAGAAAACTGAGCATCTCGGGGGGGGGAATTTAACATATTTTGAATGGTTTCTTAGTTGGTGTATTTTCCAGGGAAGTGGCAGTTCCCTGTTAAAAAGCTTTCTCCAAGCATCCCAACCATAGGAATATGCACAGAACTGACATTAGCAAGCCCGGAACAAGAGTTCCAGCCTGGCTGATGACGTCCCAGTAATGCTGCCTTAGATCTAGTTACAGCTCTGGAAGCAGAGGGGTTAAACTCAGTACGAACTGCGATTCAAAGCGAAACGCTGCTCACAGACTTCAGGCACCATGACCACTTCAAACATTGAAAAACACCTTTACTTTTGCAGGTCAGCTCAGATTCCAGCCTCACAGTCCAAAATGGCATTGCTTTTATGGATTCTATCTAGAATGACTCGGTAATGATATATGCAAATGAATTTAAAATGTTGAACTGGCAACTTGAAACAATATATTTTTATTTCACAGAATAACTGTATCGCTGTGCAAAGAGAGGAAAATCAAAGACCGAGCTTTGAATGGCATTGCTTATGGACTTTTATCTAGTAGTAAACCACTAGGAAATATAATAAGCTTTATATCTGTAATGTCACAAATGAGCTAATGTGGCCATACATAATTCTTTTACACTTCATTTTTGAACTTTTTAACGGTTTCCTTTAACTTTTTGCTTTGTACAGTTAAGAATTGCTTTAACAACACATTCCCAATTAGAAAATTGAATAGGACTGTTCTTTTATTGTGACAAATCCTATTTCACTGGAATGGATTTATGCTAGATTAAATCAAATAAGTTATCTGTAACATTCGAAACCAAACATGTATTGGGTGATTTCACTTAGAGTAATGTGCTTTGTTAGGCTTTGCATTGTAATCCCCATAGAAAATGGTTGCAATTGGTTGGTACAGGGACGTTTGAAGTCAAGGATACAGTGTATCCTGACCGATGGCAAAACAAAGAACAAAACAGAAGTTTACATTTGCAGCTATTCCCATTCCCCTATGCAGCTATTCTTAAAACTCCTACAGTTTCTTCAACCTGGAAAAAATTATAGGGGGGAGTGGGGGGGATCCTCTGTTTTATTTAGAAAATTCTTTTATTACAAAGTTATTGAAGTATTGCTTTTTCAGAAAGCATATTTTGTTTGAAAAAATATGATTGTACATATTGAAATATGTATTTTGCACAGGTTTTTTTTTTTTGTTTTTTGTTTTTTTTCTTTCTTATATCCCATTTTGGTACAACTGAGATCCTCTACTATTTATTTGTTAATAAAAACAAACAAAATACCTTTATAATTTGAAGTGGTTCACTGCCAAGCCAATTTTCAGAGAACATGCTGACTTTTACAGTTCTAAGAGACAACTAGGTTTTGTGAAGGGCGTGCCTATTTTTAATGTATTTGGAGTGGATTAATTCATGCAAATTGTACATTATTGCTTTAGATTGGTCGCCTGATTCAGTCAATTCACATCTTGCTGTAACCAAGGGATTACGAGTCTAGTTTTTGGGTTTTTTCTTGTGCATATCTGTGTGTGCAAAAACACAGGCACACAAGTGAGTGTGCGTGATTATAGATTTAAAACCTACAGAGAAAATGAAAGTGCCTGATAGTTTTTCAAGCCTGTACTATTTAGCTTTTTCCTTAAGACTTGAATGTTCAGTTGTATTTTGAAGCTTGCTTTTTTCAACCAATTATTGTGGTTTCTGAAATTTTTGTAATAGCTGGGGTGGTGTGGGGGTGGGGTTTCAGATCATTGCATAAGGTGATTGCCTCTGGTATTTTAACCCCATCGGTGCCAAGGAGTCAGCAATACATTGTGAGCCGACCCTCTTGTCACCGGAGTTAAAATGGGCTCCTGAAATCCTTGTCTTACCTGTGAGGACGTCGTTACATTTATTTTTTTGGGTTTGGCGACCAAGATGTATTTTTAGCTTCTGTTTTAGGGAAATAAATTGGATTATTTATTATAGAGAACTGCATTTAGAGAAGAGGTCCTAAAATATTTTTATTCCAAAAAAAAAAAAACACAAATAGAAGAAAGCCAGATACCTCGTGGAAGTCGATTTTTAACGTCAGTACTCCAAATGGAATGTGAAGATTTAGAGACGTCTTCCTGTGAGTTTCCTTGCCAAGGAATTTCTTCAGTTCCCTTGCTCCTGCTAATGAGGAGCTGAACAGGGCAGGATGTGGGCTCAGGGAAGGACCTCAAATCCAAGATTAAAGATGTCTTTTTCTTCAAGAGATGGGGTGTAGAACGACTTTTTGTTAAATGTCTTGCAAATCACTCTGCAGTACAAGATAATTTAATACAAGCACTACAGGTTGTCCATGTGAATGTAATTCTTGAAAGCAACTCTGTCTGTCTTTGAGCCTGGTTCTAAGAGCAATCTCCTCTGTAAAATGTGTGAATAGTTTGATAATTTGTATACATAATCAAGAGCATCTGTTCAGCTGGACGTTGGCTGCTGTATAGTTCATGAACAAACAAATGTCATGGGATAGAAAATTACTTTGGATATTTAAAAAAAAAAAAAAAAAAGAGAGAGAGAAAATATATAGCCTATTTGTTTTGTAACAAGTTTCTGTAAATAAAATAATTTATACTATTTATAAGAAAAATATATTGTGCTTTGCTTTATCAAAGTATATGCAGGTTGTGAAACAGCCGTGTATCCCAAACATTAGTCAATCGCAGCTAATGTTGCAAGATGAATCAATTCTGTTCACCTGGGATATCAATAAAACCTGGACCACTGTTTACTGCCAGTCTACTTGTAGAAAATAATGTTGTTCATAGACAGATGTGGTTATTGACAGATGCTTTGTGTGCTTTCAAATTTCTCAAGTCTATATTGGTGTAAAGCATTCTTATACAGTTTAGCTAGTTAAGTTAAAAATATTGTCAGGGTTATTCACTACAGTAAAAATGGTCAGGAATTCATAGTTAAAGTGGATTTAAAATGTAAGGACAGAAGAGCTGTTTTGGAAAAAAAAAGATTCTTTCTGATATGCTTCCAGTTAAGCTACTTCTGTCTTAAAATTGAAATAATCCTTTTAATTCACTTTGAATTCCTCACTATTCTCACTTTAGTGAATTACTTTGTGTGTCTTGAATGTATTTTACCTGTTCTTAGACAGCACTTGTTGGTGTCCATAGTTCTAATAAAGGGTTACTCCAGCACCTGTGATCAATTCTACTTTTAGCAGTGGTCACGGAGGAAAGAATCTGTATGTATAGCAATTCAGCTTGGAACACTTCAAATACAAAGGCATTTGCAGTGTTGTGCCGGGTGCTAGCTGTAAGCACTGCCCGCTTGCGACAGACTTCATGAGAGGCTACTTTTGCAGGCAGCACTTCACTGTCTACTAGGGAAAGCCTAGATTTCCCCTGCCTTGGTGCGCTCCCTCCTCACTGAAATGTGAGGTGTTTTTTTTATTTTATTATATATATTTGTCTCCCTTGCTTTTGCATTTGTTTGCACTATGGGCATTATGGAGAGGGAAGGTGTGACGTTGGATGGGGTGTGTAAGGCAACGAGGGTTGCTTCTCTCAAGTAAGGTAAGCTTTATTTTATGGGGAGGGGGGGTGTGTATATATATATATATATATATATATATATATATATATATATATATATATATATATATATATATTATTTTTATTTTTTTAAGGGGGCTACGCTAATAGTGCCCAATAGGACATTTTAAAATAAAATATGCTTTTTATAAATGAAAAAGAAAGAAAAGTTGGAGTTACCCTTTCTGTTCTTATCTAAAGAGTTTAGTCATTACCATGTCAACAATATGGGTCAAGATTGTGTTATCTTTTTCAGTACAATATAATTCAGATAAAGATAAGGCACTTTAAAGGGACACTATAGTCACCTGAACAACTTTAGCTTAATGAAGCAGTTTCGGTGTATAGAACATGCCCCTGCAGCCTCACTGCCCAATCCTCTGCCATTTAGGAGTTAAATCCCTTTGTTTATGAACCCTAGTCACACCTCCCTGCATGTGACTTGCACAGCCTTCCATTAACACTTCCTGTAAAGAGAGCCCTATTTAGGCTTTCTTTATTGCAAGTTCTGTTTAATTAAGATTTTCTTATCCCCTGCTATGTTAATAGCTTGCTAGACCCGGCAAGAGCCTCCTGTATGTGATTAAAGTTTAATTTAGAGATGGAGATACAATTATTTAAGGTAAATTACATCTGTTTGATACTGAAACCATTTTTTTTTTTTTTTTTTAATGCAGGCTCTGTCAATCATAGCCAGGGGAGGGGTGGCTAGGGCTGCATAAACAGTAACAAAGTGATTTAACTCCTAAATGACAGTGAAACTGCTTTATTTAGCTAAAGTAATTTAGGTGACTATAGTGTTCCTTTAAACATGATTTTAATTGCATAGAAAATTTAACACAAACTGGCAGCTGAAACGAATCCGTGCACAAAACTGTGGCTGTGATTAAAAGAAAAGACATTCTACATTTCCTTTAACACAGGTTAGAAGTGAACCGTCCGATGACTCATATAGTTATGGATTTTTTAACCATCTAGCTTGATTCATGTTATACAATGAAGTGTTTCTTCCCTTAATACTATTAAAATCTCATATTTGAATGTATATCCATTACTTCTAACACTCTGAAAATGTAAATTGCTTTTGCACTCCCACGCTGCATAAGTCTTGCTGGTGTACAAAAAATGTGATGGGATCATATGGAAGATAATGAAGATAACAAACCTGTGTCATTCAGGTGTGCATTTCATGAAGAACAAACACATGGTTGGTATGCCATGCCCTGGTAGAATATATTTGGGGGGATAAAAATCATTTTTCAATTTTAATGGCATGATGTCCTCATCTAAGAGAGTTAGGAACATTTGTGGGATGTCCATTGTAAAATGGATGGGAATGTGGAATTCTTTTAAATCTTCTATTCCATTTTCCTTGGACAACTTGGTGGTTCAAATGAGCACCCCATCATGTGGCCACATCATTGGTTGATGTTGTTACTGCTGGACTTGTGCAGGGCAGAAATAAAATGAAACATTGGTTCTTCTGAACTTAAGCAGAACAAGAAGAAAACATTTTGAAATAGAATAATACAGTTCATGCCTCTGTTTGGCTTGGCCAATTTTCAGCACTAAAAAAATACTGAAAGAAATTCAGGCAGCCAAAATAGCAGGAAAAATGCTGACATGCAAGAACAGCTACAATATTGCCTGGCATAACAGCTATGCAATCTTGGGCATTTTGCAATGCCAATTCCGAGGTGCTGAAATTAGTAATCTCAAAAAACATTGGAAACTGGGGTGTAGGACACATGCAGTTTGTAGAAGGGATTTTATCCAAAAACAAAAGGAAATGCAATTAAAAACCCACTAATCCTTACACTCTGACATAAATAAAACTTTCCCCACACAATCTATAGTGTCTGTCCTAAACAGTGGGGGAAAACCAGCGTCCTGTCAGCTTATTTTAGGTGCATCTGCAGAGGTAAGAGTCACACCTCAAGACTAAGCCAGGAATGGTGAAACCAATATAAAGCATTTGAAGAAAAGGGGAGCTGCAAGAAAATTAATGTAATTTTTTTATTTTTTATCTATTCACTGCCAAATTGTAGAATCCTATTGTAATTTTAAAACCAATTGTACAGGGAGAGGTCGTTGGCTAAATTGATCTAAGCAAGCAGATGATGATGATGCCTCCAGTATCAACGTGAAGAGCAAGGTAACTAGCTAGGGATGATTAAACTTGAGGAAGGCAATTTTCTTCATTTGTTACAGGGACATTTGTGAGTATTGGGGATTCAGAGTGTTCCTTGTAACAGAAAACATTTGCTCACTTTGGACAGTGGACATGACAATGGCTTCTGGGCAACAAGACCGAGCAGACCACACACACTCTAGTTTTCCCACTAGCTCAAGAGGGAAGCAAAATAAAATTTGGAAAGGTAAGTCTTTTTGAGAAAGTACTCTCCTATCAGCTACTTGTTGATGCATTTTCGCCTTGCAAATCACCATCAACCTTAACCCAAAAAGTATCTGCTTCACTCTTCTATCTTGGGGTTATGCTACCAGTGCTGCTTCTGGGAGTAGTAGATACTGGCCAAATGGTAGGTTCAATGCACCCATTTTCCTTAGCCAGCATGTTTTGTTTCTCTTTTGTTGCAAATCAGGAACTCTAATCCAACAGCCTGGCATACAGGTTGGACAGACTTTAAGAGTGCGACTTTACATTTTAATCCAAGGATCAAAGAGGGAAGAGGCATCCGTTTGGGACAATAAGCAACTCATTCAGTCAGATGAGCATAGAGTAGATCTTCCAGCTTCCTGGCCACTGATATATCTGTGTAGCAGGAGGTTGGATGTCCTCCACTGCCACAACCATGCCCAGGCACCAAGGGCTACCACTAGTGTGCCATCAATGAGAGGAAGAGATGCTAGCCACTAGGAGTGTGTCAAAAATCATGTGGTAAAGTGTACCTATTGACCTACCGCCTTACCCACGTGCTTCTTCAATAATAGTCCCATCACTATACTGTTCTGCGTGCTGAAAGTGAATTACAATGGAAGTACATATTGCAAAGCAATGGTCTGTATAAGCTGCGTAAAGGGCTCCCCTTCTATTATGTAAAAGGAAGTTCCCCTTACAATGATCAGCTGGGCAATAAGGCAAATTATTTTTAATCTGTTTTGAAATGCTCTTTGCATAAAATCCAACAAAATATTCCAAAGGGGGCTGGTGGACATGACCTTGGGATGACGTGGAGTGAATGTCTGTCTGATTGTGTCGCCTAGTGGCATCAGGTACAACTTCTTCCCTGCTCTGTCTTAATTGCAGAATAAAACAGACTTGTGTTGTCTATGTTGGCTTATAACAGCACTAGTGAGATGACCCTTCACTTCCTTGTTGCACAATTTATACTTTACAATTTGCCTTTCTGGGAGGCTGACAAATGTTGCATCAGTGCAATATATCAGCTTAAACCCTTGACCTTATTTTTCATTTGATCCTATACTGTTAGTTTTTTTCCCACCCTATTTTAAAGGATCGTTTATACTGATTATCCCTCCTTTCCTTAATTACAGATTGAACAAGAAAGTTCTCCCTCCAATTCTCTATACCCCTGTCATCATCCTTATTTATCACAAACTGATTACATTTAATTTCCCAAATTAACCTCTTGCTGGCATCTAATGTGGGTGACCCCCACTGTTGTTTATTACCTCTGCTGTGGGTGACCCCTACCATAGTATTTTTGCCTTTTATTTGAACACCAACTGATCACGGGCGAAACTCTATTACTTTATTACCACTGATATTGGCTGACCCAACCGGTGAACTGTATTTCACATATTTATTATCTTATATTGGTTTTTCATAACCTAATAAAAACATGTCTGACATACCAGATACCGCTATATCGGCCGAACTTAGAGCCTGGCTTTTCTCTGCGATTGCAGAGTCGATCCCTAAGGCCCAAGCTGCCCTTCAAGAACAACCCAATCCTGGTCCCAAGGCGACTTTGCAGCGCCTCTCTTACTCCGATAAGTTTCCTGATCCATCTGATCATGAAGGTGCTTCCCGCAAACGCCCTTGGAAGGGCGATAGTGCCTCAGCCGGCAAAGGCAAGGCACTGGCCAAAACTCCTAGGTTGGCTCCTAAGTCCCTACCACGACTTCAAAAACTAGACCCTTTAGAGGGTCTACAGATTGTGGACGAGTATAATGCTAGCTACTCTGATGATGACCTGTCCTT